AAATAAACATGCAGCACTTTACGTATCTGTTTGGAATGTAGAAACAAAGTCTGATTCTAATGCGACCGTCTGCTCCCTATAAGAGGTTCAAGTGCCGTGAGAAATGGCCTAATTCCATGTCCACTCGAGCGGACAAATTTGTACTGAAACACGCAAAGATGACAGTGAAAAATTTATATGAATACTTCGTTTTTGTGTATATACTACGATACCAATGGAGTTCTTAAGAGTTTATTATAAAAATACTGCAGAGTATTTAATGAAATAAAGTAAAAGATATGAAAATGTTAACTTTAATCTCTTAAAAATGATTTACACAGATATCCTCTTTACGCGCTCAGAAACAAAGTTATATACCTAAGCAAGTAAGTTCGCTAAGCTTCTAGGCTAAACTTCCGAGGTACAAGAGTACAATTAGCTGAACAATCAACAGTACACCGTGTCGTACAAACTAACTGTTGTTTGAGACGTTTACGAGTTAACAGATAATATCGTACTTCTACTGCTAAACCATTGAACTCGCAACTTCAAAACATGTTGTCTTGGTCATTATTATTATCTATTGGCTTCCAGTATACAGTTTATTTGACTTAGCTATTGACGAAACTCGTAAAACATGGCTAGAAAGTGCAATTTTAGAGAGATGTAAAGGAAACCAAAGAAATCTTTAGAGCCAATCTATAAATACAAGTATTTGGACTCCATTACACTTAGTATTTACTTTGGAGAACAATTTATTTCTGAATCTTTCATTTGTGATTCGTATTTGCCCTTCATATATTCTCTCTTAAACTGGTTAAAAACATTATCACACAAAAACATTGTTAAACTAAGTACTACACGAGCAAAATTATACGACCTGTACCACTCCATAAAACCTTTACACCCTCTTACCGATTTCAAGATCAAAATAAAACTTTTTATGAAATATTTTATAGTCAATAACACTAAGTAATGACTACTTAAAGTAAACAATAAATATTAAGAACTTTAGCCTAACTTTAAAACAAAGCAAATGGCGATTAAATTGAAAGACATTTTCACCGTATTATGCGCAATTTTCACAGTCTTATTTTTTTCACAATATTGGTTTGTTTCGCCTCTTTTACTCTTAACAAAAACAATTAAATCATTACGTATTACAACATCAATATAACTTGTTTAGTAAATAATTTAAATCGTAATCGACAAAGGATTCCACGATGATAACATATTGACAACAAATAAGTCACTAATGTTTAGGTCAAGTGATAAAGGTACAAGTCAGAGTACACATCTCCGTAATGATTCATTTTAATTCAAGTTAATTTATCGAAAAACACGGTTAAATATCGCGGTGTTATACGCGTCTGAACGTTCTCTAGGATCTGGACCCGATCTTATCTAGTAAAATAATGATTACTTAGAAGTTAACATTAGAGCTTGTTCAGCACGCGTCATTAGCATACATAGCTCATTCCGACACAGTACTAGTCCAGTACGAAGCCACTATATATTTTTCTTGATTTATTCAATAAGCACGACTTTATCTTGCAACCTTTTGCACTCATAAACTCTTATCATGCAATTAATTATTTTCTGACAATTAAATTTTTGTATGAAACGCCACCCACACTGCTCCTCTCCGCGTGACGTGTTCGGACACATTAGTCTGTTTGTAAAGCAATAAAATAGTCGAATTAGAAGCGAAATAAGAACAATATTTATATCTGTAATGGTGAACAGGTTAAACACTAGTGTCTACAAGTGTTTGTCTAACGGAAGGAACTGTTTACTGAATGTGGACATAACAAATTGTTATTGCAAATAATAGTGTTACTGTTTAGTATCAAGAACACATTAGGAGTCTGCCGTAAAGTATATTCAATAAAAAATATCTTCTGTCGAGTGAGTTGTTCGGTTCAACCAAAATATTAACTTTGTGAATGTTTTCTCTAATGGAACGTGATTTGATTACATACAGAACAGAACGTGATACAAAATGTATTCAACAGTAAACAAACGTGAGTAATTGTGCAGATATTTATTAGCATAATCTTCTTTATATGTAGCTCGTTCCCTTCTTGTTCTGTATTAGGAAACCTATCTAGGCAAGTGTTTAAATTCTGTAGCATTATCTAGCTATGCGTAGCATGTTCAGTGGTAATTGAAATATAGTCATTGAAGTGAGTATACTTTTAAATGATTTCATTTCTTCTTTTAAGATACCTACATCTATGAACATAAATCTTATGACGCTATGGGTGTACCTACATTGATGTATTAGTAGCTACTTATTCCTTGAATTCCTTCCCAGAACATAAGAAAAGTTGTTGGTGAAAGACAATATGAACAATGATAATGACAAACCACAAACGCTTGACGATCAGAGTTCGCTTATTTGGATTTATCGACAGAAAATTTGCACACAATGTTTAGAAACAAACGGCATCGATGTTTTGCTTTCACGACTCATACCTGAGAACGATTGTACTGTTGTTACTTGAATTATTCACTTACTTTTATTCCACAGGAATGTTGCGGATGAATTGTACTCAACACTCGTTTTTATTGTTTTGCGAACGCTCCATTTTGTCCGTCATTGCTCTCGAAATGGTCAAAGTAGGTAACTACGTACATATAGGTGCTGCACTACTGATTCTATTTCGATCTCTGGTTCTAAGAATGTTTCATGAATGTCCATGTGTAAATCTGTACCATAAAAGCTTAAAGAAAGACAGTCTTTGTTCCTGAAACAATTGAGCCACCATTATAAATGAGTACATATAGAACGGAACATGGTCGGATTCTCGGGAGTCGGTCGCCCGAGACGTCCAGTGTTTACCGTCCATACAAACCAATATTGACATTCTCTTTGTCTACTAACTGACGGCTAATCTCTTTGTATGGGATATTCTTTTGTGTAATCAATATCAACCTGTTCCCGGTTTAAGCGCCCATACTACGCATAACCATGAAATTAATCTACACATCTACCTCCACGCACACTGCCAAAACACGACTGCAGCTATGACTCAAACGGCTATCGTGTGTTTATTCTCGTAGACTTCAATGGGTTACTTGACTCCAGCCAAGCCATTAGCCTAATATTTATTAGAAACTTTGATACTTGATACGACTTAGTTAGTCAGTGTTTGATTCATGGCAATGATCACGTAGAATGGAACGATATTTCATAAAAGCTCATAAAGGGACTAGTTTGGGCTATACTACTTAAGAGTTGCTGGATGTGGGCTCGGCCGGTCCACTTTCATGCAGTTTGTGTGCGGGTGCGGCGACGACGGCGGCGCCGGCGCACCGACATTGTTGCGCGGCGACATTCTGACCATCGTACATCACAGATATTGCTAGAAAGCGTCCTAGCCGATCCAAGTCTCTGGAGATAGATAGGAACTGGGTGATTCTCCAAAAAACCTTAACTTTTATTTAACAAGTCATTATCCTCCCAGGTTTTTAAGCATCTTAGTAATTTATTTTATACAATATTTTTAATCGGTTGCTTGTAAGCAGTGGTGAGATTTAATTTAATAAAATAATTATCTGTGTTTTAATCAGCAGACTCGTTAATTTTCGGTTGAGGATAATGACATTATTAATTTTTTTTTAATTGATGTGAAGAATCACCCAACTACGTAATTATATGATTCATTTAGATACAACATAAAGTTCCAACTTTAATATAGGTACCTAACAGTAAAGTGTGTAAACTAAACCAGGTATTGAAGCAATAGTAACACAGCAAGTCACCAATAGATATAGTGTATAACGAATATTAAATGTCAAATTACTGTTACCAACTGATACCTACTAGCTATCAGATACTCAAACTCAGAATACTTCCCATAGATTTTTTTTTTATGTAATTGGTCGGCAAACGAGCAGACGGATTACCTGATGGTAAGCAATCAGCGCCGCCCATGGACACTCGCAACGGAGGAGTTACGAGTGCGTTGCCGACCTTTTAGGGATTAGGGATTTGGAGATTTAGGGATTGGGGAGGGATTGGGGAAGGGAAAGGATTCACTCACTCACACGGCGAAACACAACGCAGTGGTTATTTCACGCCGGTTTTCTGTGAGGCCGTGGTATCACTCCGGTCGAGCCGACCCATTCGTGCCGAAGCATGGCTCTCCCACACTTAAATGTAAATAAATGAAATGTAAGGTACCTACGTTTCTTTTATTGATTTCTGCATATCTGATTTAATTATGAGAGCTTTTTTTAAGTAAATGAAATATTGTTTATTTAACTTATTTACGTAGGTATGTTAGTAGGGACACATTTAATTTAACTGTAAATTAAAACACTCCGTTAGTATTCTTTGATGTTTAACAGCAATGTCTGCGAAAACTGAAGCAACAGACTCATTACATTATATCAATATGGCGTATCGTTAAATTTATTATACACTTAGTGATGAGCTTTTATCGTAACTTCGTTGATTCAGACTGTATGTCACGCGACATTCTCGGTGTAGAGTCAGCCACAAGAAACGTTATCACAATCTACACTGCTCACTATCTACAAACAAAATCTCTTACGAACAATGCAGACGACAAAGAAAAAATGGCAACTCCTATAATACATTTCGTATTCTAAAAAGGCTACAAGTTACCTTTGAGGCGGTTGCCTCTTGAAGTCTCACGTTCCAGGTTAAATTATAATGCTTTTGAGAAAATAAGCATGCTTCCTGCGCCTAATGTTTATGCAAACTCATGTAGTGCTTGGAGGTCAAACAATAGGTGCTATCTCACATTTGCTGATTGTATTGAAGCTTCATGCACTTCTGTATTGACTTTTATGTTTAGTTATTTGATGAAATACTGGTCTTAAAATTTGATTTCTAACTTCAACATACCTAGGTGCATAAAAACAATGTTAACCATTGTGTTTGTAACGTAGTTGTTTATCTTTGTTTTATGTGAAACAGTTATTAAAATACAATTTTTAAAAGTTTGAAGCTACACATGATTTAAGTATGTCTTGTTCCTTCATTGCAGGGCTGCGGCTAGCGAGTTCGGGCGCCCGTTATAATGTGACCGGCGCACGACGACGCGCGTCTCTCCTCAAGGTGAGCCTCCTCTCTCCATACTACTACTCACTTCCACTGGCCACAACCACACCACCGTGGCCGAACTACCAACACCGACACAGTAGCTAAATGTCACGATGATACAATTACCTGAACATTCACGGCCGAGGTTCGAATCAACGATAAAATCAATATACCTATTCATTAAATAAAACTTTATAACAATATCAGAAGATTTTATCCATTCGCTGGGTAGCTGTACCTCATCATATTTTAATACGACTTCATATTTATGGATTCACTTGCGGCACTGTGATTTATGGTTATTACCTAAAATAAAGAACAAAAACATTAAAGGGCTTTTATATATAGCTAGTCGTACCAAAAACATATTGAAATGATATTATTAAAACGAGTCTTATGGCAACGCATTCGGGTAACCTTTGCAGGCGGGACTGTGTCTGCATACTCATTGTGCAGGGCGCGGCTTCACCCACGGCCCACGGCCATGAATCCGAGCGTGATATATTATTTGTTATTCACGGGCGAAATCTGTCGCCGCCGGTTCCGTCAAAGCAGACCGTTTCCCTTCCAAAAATACAAAGATTATATTCCGAACGCATCCGTCTCGGTACGTTGAATGCGATTTCGTTTCGTATACGCTCGTTAACAACGTCCATCCGACCGTTTAAGAAATTCAGAACCATTAATTAGAACGCTATGTCGCACGAAGGCTACGCTGCCCTACACCGGCACGAGCTAGTAGAAACACCAGTGAACACTAATATAATGCAAACGGAGGGAAAATAGAGCATCAAGTGGAAGTGTCTGTAGTAATGAAACTCGTCTTACGCCCTTTAAAATCCTGGAGACCGACAGAGAAAGTTGTAAAAGTTTCAAGCTTCAAGAGTGCGTCGTTACAAGTTTTATTTTATAAATAAGACCATGCTCACCATCTCTTAACACTTTCAATATAATGATTTTACTTCAAAACGGCTATGATTTGTAATCGATATGTAAATTATGAGGCTATCAATGGACGGAATACATAAAAAAAATTAAAAACCTGCGCCGCCACTCATAACATGTATTCGAAAGTCAACTAATAGAAATGAGTGTTTAAATCAAATACTGTTTCGTTGATATTACTGGCTGGATAGAAGCAAATTATTTTTTCAATAAACAAAATAAAAAGTCAGTTATCTACCGTTCATAACGTATTGGAGCCGCTCAAGAGGGAGATGAATGGGCCGTTTTTATAAATAAACATCGCCGGCTGCGCGCCTGAGGCCGTGGCGTACTACGCAGCTTGGATTAGGTGCACTTAATTGTTTTTGGACATTGATGGGCTACATTTGCTCCTAAATACGGAAGATAATCAAAAGAGCCGCTTTAGAAGTTGCATCGAATCTAGCTTAAAATTACGTCATAAATGAAATCATTATAAAAACTCTAAAGAGTAACTGAAAGAAATGATTATATATGTACACTGTTCTCGTATCGTATAAAATCTACAATTTAATGTTATTATTCTACAAACTCAGATTCAAACTATATATTACTTCTGCGTGATTCTACGCTTAATTTAATTCCACTAATTGAAATGAAAATGCTAGTTAATACATTTCAAACAACACACATAACGTAATTACATAAAGAGTGCACTAAAATATGTCTCACTAGGATTTTATAACTGTCTCAAATGGTGCCCATACACGTGACTTATTAGCAACTGGCATTAAACAGATAAGTCTTAGTTAAAGTACCTACATATATCAAAGATACTTTGCATCTTTAATCATATATCCCACAGCTACCAAACGTAGATAGGTAATAAATAATTACTAACCTACCGACAGTATAGAAGTCAATTAATAAGATCAATCATGCAATCTCTGCCCATAATGATAAACCTAAGAGAACTGACGTGGGCACGCCACACTTCTGGACCGATAAACTCAATATTCAGTTATCACTACGGAAACCCAGCCTAGCAACAAAACCAAGCGCAGGTGTACAATAAAAATCTTCACCAGTGTGTGTACGGGGCACGTAAAATAGAGACGTTGACCTTGCAGCAACACCCGAAATGTAGCCGAGATGTAGGAATGATAGTGAAATGTCGCGGCACATGCTAACCACGCAGTCAGTAGGTCGCTCTCAACTACCGACACACTTGCCCATGAGAGTGACAAAACTTGCAGCTGCAAAACCGAACCACAATTACTTACTACCAGCCTGACTTTATAGGCCAAACGATTGAGCGTGACCGAATACATTTAATTACAAAAAAGGATCGAGCCGAATGGATATTGTGCGGACCACATCATTGTGTGCCGAAACGTGCAAACAGATCTAATACGACACGACCTACACTCCGATATTTTGATAGATTACTATTTACGATGTGTTTAGTACATAAGCATGTTGCCTCAATATTTACATACATAACTCTTATATTACTCCAACACTAAATATTAGGAATACAAAGAAGTGAAATGTCATCAAACAGGTCCCAAACTTGCACTTAAAAACAGAATTAAACACCGACAGAGTTTTTACTCGTTATAATTAATTGCAGTGCTTATATTTTTGGTGGTCACGGCCAACCCTGAGTACCGAAGCTTTTTATCAGATCTTATTCCATGTCGGCAGCTAAACGAAAATAACTCATTTCGTGGTAGAAAGATTGGCTGGCGAGCAGGGTTGGTACCTACCTAACGGCATGAGACAAATGAGAGAAACTAAAATAAACAAACTGATAAGGCGGGACTTGGCAACAGAAATCAAATACAATCGTGAAGTATCAACTGTAGTAGAGCTTTACAGAACTAAACACAGTGACAGTCGACTGAAATATTAGAAGAACAAATTCAGCTGACTGTGGTTTGACGTGATTGGTACTACAAGAAAACTGTCGCGTTCCAGAACGCATTATAGCCCAGATTAAATAAATTTACTTTCTACATCGATTATTTATTTAAAGTCCGATGTCAATAAGGAATTTGATTTCGATTATTAACTGGTTTTGATTACATAACTAAATAAATATAAATTAACTTGACCTGACTCAATGCACTACATGCGGATAACTTTGACCAATTTACTTTCTTACTTTACCACAGGGTAACAGCAATTAAAAGTTTACATTGACATTGGATTCAATATACATGTTAATTAAGACTTTATTTGCATGTATCATGCATACAAAGGTGATATAGGAAGGCAGATAAATATCTATTTTTTTGAAGGATGATGCAATATTTTATATTGATTGTTCCACGTGCCTTCAGCAACAATGTTATCATCACTTAATAATATCCGTACTAAATGCAAACTGACAAGTCTCGATACGTGAACAACTAGATATTCTCTAAGGCAAACAAAAGGCTGGTACCTACGAGGAAAGTGAGGTAGACTTATAAAAACAATAAGTCCACATTTAAAACTCAATCTTATTGTTTTACAAAAAAAGGTTTCAAATATCATGATAATCTAGTGAGACACGTTCACATATGTAAACATTTTTCTGTCATTGTTCGGAGTTGACATGGTCATTAAGCCGTAGGAGACGTCGGGCTCATTAGTATTAGTTAGCCAAGTCGTGACTGGTGACAGTTTACCTCAAACGATTATAACGGTGTATTAGTGGTGTCAAAAGGTTCCTTGCTAGAACAAAAGAAGCGCGTATTTAAAACGGAATGACGTAATGGAAAGGTGTAACAGGATTAATGCCAACTAGAATTATTCTCAAATGTTCGAAACGCGATCACAATAATTAAATGTATTTTTATAACATATTAGATGCATATCAAATAATGGACGTCATAGGAAATGTTTTAAGTTCGATTCGATGGCTTAATATATCAACTCCAAAATAAGGAAATAGTTCTGTATACTGATTATGTAGGACTAAAAAGTAGCGATGGACGCAGAATAAATGGCTAGAACAGCAAGAATGAATGAAAGCATTTTCCACAACTTATAGTAACCATATATAAAACACAAATAGTAAAATGAAACAGTAAAGCAACTATTGACAAAGACACAATAAAATTTTGCAGTCTGGCCTCCTCAGTTGGTTCGTTCGCACTAACTCTACACTAACCGATGTTCCATGAAGACATTTTTCCGCAAACAAAAACCACATCAGCATTTACAACATCCGGAAATGTTTAAATTTACTTTAAACAACAATGTTCGTGCAAACAATGATAATGAATTACAACAAAGTTGCAATTTTGTTATAGAGCACCAAAAACCTCTTTACAGTGCAATATTGCAAACTTTTAAGTTTAACTAAGTATATTCTGAATACACTACTTACACATACTATTACTACTTACTTATACAACTAAGTACTTGTACATTCAAATTAGTTACTTACTTACCTATAGCGTTACAACGATCCGCCTTCCAAAGCTAATTTCAATCTTAAAGCGTGTGTTTAGTTCAACACGATTTCGTGGCAATGGAAAATCTAATAACGAACAACTGCTAATTGCCGCCATTCAACTGAACGGAACTTTAATTAACAAATTTTCAATAAATATAATTATGATTGAATAGGCTCTATTTCAATGGAACCAATATTAAATGTCATACATAAAATTAATATTTTATTGCAACATGTAGTAGGTAATTCGTGGCTGTTAATGTTATTTAAAATTTGCGGTAAATGTCAAAAACATTATCCCTGTGTCCTGTTCACGGAGAATATCAATCAGTTACCTAATATGCAAATTTGGCCGACATCGTGTCTGACCAGTTAGCGGGGGCACTTTCTCGTCGACGTACCTATAGCCATTATTAAACAATGAATATAATGGATAATATCAAGCACATGCTGTCACGTCACGAGTTTCGGAATGGCTCTTGTCTAGGCATAATTATGAGGTAATGACTAGAATATTTTTCTAAGGTTCCAACCTCTTAAGTAACACTTGTAGGTAAATTTGCAAAATAAGTGATTTATTTTAATGCATACAAAATTCAGTATTATAGATATTAATAGATTTGATATCTCTTAAAATATCTAACAGTCAACACTCAATAATAAGACTATCATATTCCATTATCCATCGATCTCACCTACTTCTCGTTTTATTTTTGTAACGAAAAACCTGTCAAACAGCAGGTGTAGATAACACAGCTGCTTCTTTCAAATCAAATAACAATGTTTTATTATTTTATTGCACTGTAGTGGTATCTTGGTTTCAAATCATCGCTTTTTTCGTTACTCACAATACGTTGGAAGAAACACCTGTCAGTTACTGTGAGGGTGGTGTACCAACCGTGACACTTCCTCTTGCAACTCCCAAACCGTTGAAAGCAAATAATTTTGATACAAAGGATTCAAACCCTAATGTCTCCAATTAACATTTGAAAATGCCTTAAAGAATTTTAGGTACATCTATACAAGAAGAAATATTTATCAGAAACACTTGTGTTGTGACTGGTAAGCTATTTGTGTGCAACCCTGCGCCGACGCACCTCTGTTCCGCAACTGCCTTGTCTCGCTCTCGCATGCATGTCAAGGTAGGGTTCAACATTCGAGGATTTGGTCCGTGCAGATAATAATACATCCAAACGGAATACCCGACGTGTATCTGTTTTATGTAAACAGAATGTGCTCATTAGGTCAGACGCAGTCAGACACGCATATTAACTTCATAATCCCAGGCATACGCTGCATTCTTTCGTCGCGACGAAGATTTGTCGGGAGAAAATCCCGAGTAGCATTCAACGAGTTTAATCCCGCTTTCTAATCCTTTTCACACTAGAGAATGCAGCATAAAGTATGCTTCAATCAAGCACCATTGAAACACGGTCAATTCCCGCGAGAAGCTTCCGCGTGCGCGTGCGGCGCCTGATGCGAGATCATTGCCAGATGCCGCCAATAGATCGCGACGGGGTCAACAGCCATTGCCCTTGTTTTGCGCACTAAATTATTAACTCGAGTGTACAGCAGATCCACCATAAACGCGTTTCACTCAACCGGGGTCAAGGGAACTAACACTTGGAACAACAACATTGTCGCACAATAAACAAACAAACGTCATTTACATGCAAGTGTTATGTAATTGTATTACATGTGTAACGACTGGCTAAAGGTGCTTGTACTTATTTCAACTTGCTGTCTAGGAACAGAGAGCGGTGTACTATTATTGCTCCACGCTTAACCTTAGGTCAGGAACAAAGTGAAACGAAAAGTAATTAATTAGGTACCTATGCGTTGCGTTTATACAACGGTATAATAAGCTTTGAAGTTATCTCTAAGACTTCCTGTGCACGTGTTATTCTTACAAAACAAGTGGGTAATTAAACTGCGTCTAATATAATGCTAACAAGTTACATGAAATGCGTCCGCTGACTTGAGAACGACATTACAATGCTCCAGTGGATAGCTTGGAAACATCCTCGTCGGGTATCAGTTCTCTTGTTGCTAGATGCGAGTATCTCTAAGACGATCTAACAACTAACAGTACTACATGCACACCATAGAAGATGGTGATAGTTCACAGGTTCCCATCCCACAGAACAATGAGGTTAATCAAGACCTCTATATCGAACACAATAGTTAATTAGCAAATCAATTTCCACAATAGATGAAAGAATGTACCTAGTCTTCGTTCCGACTTTTATTTCAATCATAGCTAATTAATAATATTTTACAATCGAGTGCCCTGCAACTTGCAAGTTAAAGACATTATTATTTTACAGAAGTCACTGAACAGGTTTCAATATTTATATGCTTAAGTGAGAGGACTTGAACCTTGGCGGTATATCTCATAACCTTTATGTGAGTTCAAGAGTAGTTAACATAACCTATCGGTAATAGTCTTTTTTTAAATCTAACTCTTACATGTAGTAGGTATGTATCCCTCATATACCTGTATAACAACGCGTCTGTGTTCAGCGAAAGGTGCACCAATATTTTACCAGTTTTACTAAGATCTCATCGATGTAACTCTAATGGCCTGGACCGACAAAACATCATTTAATGTTTGTTTTTGTAAATAAATAATTTTGTTTACCATCTTCTCAATCTAATTTTTATAAACATTAGACACTTAACTGGTGTGTTTGTTCTGTAAATTTAAGTATCCATTGCAAATGACTCATACCTACATAAAACAAAGTAATATCTAAGTAATGAAATATTAGTAACCGAAACATTGTTTCATTATATGCAGAATCGTTATAGTTATACGTATCTACCTACTTCCTCTATGTTCTGACAATTTCAATGACAACCAATTTGTCGATATCCAACTCTAAAATGTTTTGGTTAGAAATTCTAACTGCGAGTGCCTCCACATACATAATAGGTATCTACATATATACGTCTGTGTAAAATAGAACATTAACATGTCTCTCAACCAAATGTTACATGTGTAAGTAATTTCATGTGCTGGCTTTCTCATTGCTCAAAAGACAACAATGTGATACGATCACTGCTTATCTTCCAGATTAACAATTGTTTGGCATACCAAACAGAGATGTAAGAATTGTTTTAAAAGTAGCGTAACTAATTTCAAAATGGGCAATTGACAGCAACATCAAATAAAATCATATCCGAATATTCAGCGCGTCTGCTCGCCTGATTTATACGTATCTACTGCCTATGAGAAGAGAGCACTGGCCTACTTTAAACCAGACTCTTAAGCCCTAGTGTCGCAATCATGTTCTTAATTATCTCCAATCCAATTTAGCACACGCGTAGCAACATTGTAAAATTACTACAACCAATTTACACCGATTATAAATACTTACTTAATTTATTTATTGATTCAAAATATGCACTTCACTCCCGGGACGTAGGTACCTATCTGTCGATAACTTAATGCAAGTTAAAAGTGAAGGCGTAAGTAGGTACATAATAGCCTATGATTAACACACTTTCACTTTCCCAGTGATAAAGGGCCTCAAGGTCGCAGATGATAGGTAATCACATTCACGGATCTATTTGGTCCACAGACAATTAAGGTTGATGGATTGTTGTAGATTATTAACACCAAGATTAGGTTTTAATATCCGCCACATGAAACATACCAATATATTTGTGGAACTGCAGAATTTAATTGTTATAGACATAAATGTACTTACATATAATTAACCCACATATAAACACATACCTGTTTAAGAAAAATGATATTAAAAATGTATGTAGCATACGCATACGAGGGTTAAAATGAACACCAGATAGATACAGGAACAGACGTAGCATGCAAACGATCAATTATTGCTTAGTAGGTTCACTCGACGACGCCTTTGTACTAAGCAACAATTGATATTGCACCTTGATACTTAAAATTCCATAAAACGTTTAGGCCAAATGTGATAAAGATAGATATCCTCACTCTTTTCCGCGAATAAAATCAAATCAAAAACTAACATTGCACATGAACCACGTTGTGTTAAATTGTAACGCTTGAAATGATTAAGGAAACTGTAATTAATCTTCGTGTTATGAATTATGAATGGTTGCGCCATTTCCTACTTATTATAAGAATACAGTCAATAGTGATGAACGCGCAAATGGTGCGAAGAGTACCGCGGTCACCAACCCGCTTAGTGGCACGGCAACTAATGATTTTGTCCACCTTTTTGTGGCAGCCGTACCTACGTGTCAATAGACTCCCGTAAGCTGAGTAGAATAAATAGGTAGGATTAGCCTCTAAGCTGATCAATAATCACCAATGCTCTAACAGCTGTTTGCATAAAAATATCAACAAATATTACATCAAACAAAATCTTTTTGATTTGAAACATCTTAGATTCTCAACAATAATTTATCACAAAGTAACAATAGTTATGCATTATGTTACAGGTGTTTGCGATGTGGTATACGTGGACGACGTTACTGCTGGTGTCGTGTGCACTAGTAAGGGCGGAGCCCGGAGCGGAGGGGCCGGCGCCGGCGCCTGTGGCGACCACCCGCGCACCGCCACGCACCCTCGACCGGCAAGCTGCCGAACTTGCATGGAAATCCTGGCTCCAAAGTCCTGAAAGCAACAATCAAAATGCTCCGCCACGAAGGATTACTACTAAATCTCTGTTTATAACGCCTCTCAATTGTCCCGAAGGACAAAGACTCGATAGAAATGGCTGTGTTCAGGTAAGTCCTTCAGAAAACCATACAACTTATTTTAAACACTTATCTATTTATAAATTAATTTGTGTAATAACTAACCCAATTTTTTATTGTGGTGATTAAAACTTATTTCTAACTTTTCAGGTGGTGACTGTAAACAAAGATGAGCACGAACGTATCCTACTGGAGCATCTGAACGCTTGGTTTGTGACTTCGGCTCCTGGTGGAGACGTACTCTACGACTATGGCGATGCTGACCCTGGGCCACTGCAACTTTCTATACCCATTGGATTAGATCCACAAGCTGCACCACTTCAAGGTCAAGAGCCATCTTCACAGGTAAGCAAACGTGATAAATTTTGTAAACAATAAACTGACAAAACTTACCTCTAAAATATTTGTAATTAACAATTATTTCATGTTCTAGGCTCAAGAACTACAGCCAAATTATATGAAAGTTGACAAGAAAGACACAAATAAAGCAGACGGTGACGTCAGCATAGAAGCTGAATTAGAACTTCTGAAACTTCAAAATACAGTGAACCCAAACACCACAGCAGTTCTTGATAGTTCATATTTGGTAAACCAGAATATTCTGACGCACAATTATCCTGATAAACCTAAACGTGATAGCTCAAGTGTCAATATAACGGAAAGTGAATCGCCGAGCAATGTTACTGATGAAGGACAAAAAGAATTAGTTTATGGACACGTTAACGTTGACCCTATTCTTTACAACACAGAAACTCAAAATCTAACAGATTCTACAGAGGACTTAGAATCAAGCAGCTTAACAGAAATTGAAAATAATGCAACTTCTGTTAATGTAGCTCATGCAAACTCGTCAAATGAATCAAATAAAATAGAACATACTAATTCAAGTACTAATGTTTTGAAAAAAGATAGAGATCCAAGCAAACTCAGCCCAGAGAATGACTATTCTGATATCGGAGAAGCTATCAAATTAATAAGTCGATATGCCGATGTCACTACTGATGATAACTTTACCAAAGATCAAAATAACAATGGAATGAAAGAGGACAGCATTCTGGGTACTCGTACTAAACTTCAGTATCGTCGAAATAGGCCAAAAGACCAAATCAGAGAAACAGCTCATTTAGCGCCTGTTCACACACCGCTTGAAATTGCTTATAGTGAAAAAACCGCTACGCATAATGTGTTTCTCCCAAAATATGACGTTTACTACAGATACCCATGGCAAGGTCAACATTCTCCGACGCCTCCACCTGACTATCCGTTCCGGCATTTACAAGATTACTGGCCTGGTCGTAATCAAGTAGGTGGTGTGTATAACACCCATGAGAACCCTCGGCGCCATCACCATTCGTATCCACATAACTTTCGGCTACACAACTACCCTCATGCGGGATACGCGGGCGTACCTCCAGCATACCCAGAGCAATTAAAGGGATATATTCATCGTGCAGTCCAACACCACGCCGACCCAATGCGAGCTCACACAAACAACCAGGACCTCTACAGCCTTCTTGGCCTTAGACATTGGTTCAGTAGTGAAGGGACATCAAAAAGATAGCTTGCTCCTTGTTACATTAGACAATTCGATGTTACCCGACGACGTATAATGGAAGCTATGGGACAAATGAAAATATACTATAACCACATATTCACCATCATGTTACATTGGCACCTGCCTAGTCTCTACTTTACTTAATTACTTGCAAGATAGCAATTGTGTAATTTGTTATCAAATCTTATTTCGGATTCGAAGTCATTTCTATCCATAGCTTTCAATATATTAGCCTATTTATTTCAAAGCCAAATATTACAGTCATAATTAAGTTATTATTTTTTGTTAGAAATTTTAAGTTCTGTAAATATTTCTTAATTTTAAGTGTTTTATTTTGCTATAGTATTATCGTTGTTTTATATTATGTTAATGTAAATTGTTCTATTGATGATAATTTTCGACTTATATTTATTCGATGTATATTTTTATATTAATTTTTCGTTGTGAATGTATTTGTCTGTAGATGTTCGATGTTCGTACCTAATAAGTATCGCAAAATATACCTACCTAATAGTGTTAATTTAAGTATTCTCAAAACGGAGTGGCACATAGTTAATTGCCGCAGTTTTTTCAAGAAACTAAGTATTCGTTGCAGTTGATAGGTGTAACCCAACTCAATGTTTTGTGTTTATGATGTGTGTAGATATAGCTAGTAGGTATTTGTTCGTATTATTAGTTCCAAACAATCTAAATGCAAAATCGGACATTTAAAACCCACCAAAACATGTACTTCCGCAGAATGCATTAAGTATATTTTATGTTTATACTTGGCCACGTGTATACTTGCCACACTAGTAGTATGTATAATCAATTATATATGTATAAGTTTTCTTATCTCGAATCGACTGCTGGATAACTGTGTAACTGGCGACATATAGCTAAGTGAAAGCCGTGATTCGAGAGTACTCGCATTTCGAAATACATTCACATTTCTGTACTTTCGTAAGGGCGTAATACCTGCATTACCGAACTATTACACTATTACACATTAACGATCCCACCAAAGCTTAGTTTAAGTATTTAGTTTTTTGTCACATAATAATTCACTGTGTACCTATTCGAAACTATCTAGATTCTAGAAGGTAGGTGAATAAAATGTATTTTTGTAATCCAATTAATGTTTACTTCTAGTAATAATTGTTGGGCTCAAGGTGACCAACTATTTTTGCATGTATATCTACCAGAACTTACTATTGTGCCAAAATTCGAACCTATTATATGTCCGGATATCTGTTCAACAACATAAGTAAAACTTAGCTGCATATTTTTATTGTTTGAATGTATGCTTTTTTTTCACAAAACATTGTCACATATCTAAGTGTTAATAAACGTATAGTACTTAAACAATTTAAATTGGTACTAAGTAAATTGTTGTTGTTTTTGACACCTGCCTAGCAGCCATTGAGCCTAACTGATATATCCAAACACTGTCAGGTCAGAAGTTTATCAAATACATATTTTATTGGATTTATATTGTTATAATTAAATTTAAGAAAATACGGTGTAATTAGAATACATCCGAATATCTCCTAATGTGACAATTTAATAATAATAAGTATGTAATATAATTTTATTTTCTATATTTACCAACCGCCTTTTAGATAATTATGATAAACTTTTGACTACAATTACTTAACATTTATTTTATTGTCTATTATCTAATATCTGTACCAGTGTGTTAATTGAATAGATGGTTGGATTTTATTTTAATGCTGAAACTAACCATACATATATCGCACAGTATATTTTATTATATGAAGTATATTGCTTTAAGTACAAAAACGGCCTCAATCTCTCTTAAAAATATACCTTTTTAGAATTTTCAAATCCATACAAATCTATTTTTTCATACAGCCTGTTTTTGTACTGCAAGAGATGCTTATTTTATCATTTGCCTAAATTCTATTAGTACTAAATCAATTTGGAAAAAATCGTGAGGGCTATTGTACAAATATAGTAAGATTTTAGTCAATAGATATCAATGTCATGTCTTAAAATGTTATAATTAAAATTAAGAAATTTGCTTATTCACTGGATGATATTTCATGAAATATAGAAACTATAAATTTATCAATGCCAGTATTTTATTGTAAATAGTAAATGTGTTACATTAAAATGGAAATCAAATTGATATGTGCATTTTTATTTCCTGGATTAATAAATAATACAAACATAAATATACTGAAAGATGTTTTATTGAAAAAAAATATTCAATTTTTATCAATAACATTGATAAAATAGTTCCTACTAGTAGGTGTGAAATGATTAACTTGTTCAATAAAACGAGATTCCCTGTACTTGCACATACTTCAATCGAAATGAAGTAGGTAACTGTTATTCACTATGGTACATAATATTCATAACAAAACTGATGATCAAATAATAGAAACAACTTACATGCAAGTCATTTGTACAAAATATCACAATAATAATACATAGTATTATTAAGAAACTTAACACATTATACAATTACAATTAATATTTATTATTAAGTTTCTGAAGCACTATGGCAAAGAGTTAGAAATGGATATGACAACATAAAATGTCAGCAACTTATTATTTTTACTAAACCTATAAAATAATTATATTTGTTGGATAATTAATTATCGAGGCCATAGTAACTATAAAATCAGATGTTGCATAGAGACACTGAAACTGAAGTATGTGCAAAAACAGATTTAAGACACAATGTTGTTCTTGAATTGTTTTGTATAATTTCATTTTGAATTACCTTTGTTCTGAATGAATAACTATTTTATTTTAGACCAGGCATCTTATCTTAAATTACTGGATTTTATACAACATTGTCAACCTTTACACATTTTGGATACTGACTGAAGTTAACACTTAATGAACAAGTAAGTACTAGCGGACACAAAAATACCAATCCAAATTTTTAAGTTTTCACATGGTGATTTCATCTAAACTCATAAATTTGGATGCTGTGTTCCGGTACATGGCTTAATGTCAAAGATTGATACCTGAAAATAATCACAAAATTCACTAATTATTATTTTATTATTTTACAAAAAAGGAACACCAAAATGCACAAAGTACTATTATGTACAAGTCATTTCTATTCTAAGCTTATATAAATATGGAATGGCATTAAGCCAAAATGAAATTTCTAGAAACCTACATATAACTAATTAGATTAGATAAAAGACACTATTAAGGTGATATACAAATTCTTACTGAATACTGTATTAATTAAGGAATAGAACAAAATTTGTACTAGATATTGACTATTCAAGTTATCACCAATCAATATAGACTGTGATCTTTAACCTAGAACCATATAGTCAAATGATTAGCACGACAGTAAATCCTATTCATATAAAATTTATATCAAGACCACTAGATGAGGTTGAAAGTTTATTTGGTTTTAAAAATTGAAATTCCAAACATATTTTGAATCTAGCTGTGTGTACAAGTGATAACAAGCAACTACTTTGATATGTCATACAGAGTACAGTTCTTTGACTAAAAAATTTTCAATTAGATATACTGTCTATGACTGAGCCTATTATACAGTATTATTTTTCTTGTTACATATGAGATCCAGACTCAATTCTTTGTACAATAATGGAAAAAGCAACAAACAGTAATATAAAAGTACTCACCATTCAGAACTTCGATGGTAATAATAGCCTTCTATTGTAGCTGCAGACTTATGGAAGCATATATAGTAAAAACCAGCGAATGAAGCACCATTTATATCCTTTATTGTATGATCTGGCACTAAAAAGTGTTCTTTCCACCTCATAAACACATAGTCAGCCTTTTCGAGAGAGTCATAATCAAACGAATCAGAATTGAATGTCTTTAAGTAGGGTACAAACAAATCAAATTTGCTCTGAAAAATAATGAAATATTTGTAAGATTGCACTTGTAAAGTCGCCATTCATAGATAATTTTAAACATGGCTCTGAGATACTCACCCAATGTTTTCTATCAACATCTTCATCAGCATCCCACTTTCTTGTCAGGAATGGGTATTTAGCAGATATAATTTCACCATCAAAAAATGTTGTCAATGTGGGAAATTCCTCTGTTAAACCTTTAATTTTTAAATACCCGCAAAGGTAAGAATTTTCTTCATCTACATGCTGCAATGAGAAAGCAATAATTCGTTTTAAAGTTAAATTGCCTTCTCTCAATCATTATCCTTACGCAGAAACATGTTTTGAACTGATTGAAGGAGGTCTTAAAATATTAACTGTTTTCTTAATAAGCAAAAAGCTTACGCAGTCACTTACAATTTTACGTAAATATCTAATTTTATCAATATTGCGTACTTTGTTTTTGTTACTAACCTGCAAAACCACTTCGACCTCATAAGAGTTACCTTTGCTTTTCTGGTGCCCTTGAAATTTAGATCCGTTATATAGCAAGGACTTGGTTACTCCAGGCTGCTTGGAATTTGCTGGAGGCGGTGGAGTTATATCAACTTTTACGGGCATTATTTTTCCATTAAAACGGATGACCAAGCTTTCGTAAGTGTGACAGACAGATGATAGGTTCTTTCTTTCAACTGGTGCCTTTTGACAGATCGTCGTATTTCCAGCAAATTCTATGAATTAAAACTTAAATAATTATCAATAATATATTCTAATATTCTAGATATTACAGTCAATTGTTACGTGTTGACCGCAAACTATTTAACTAGAAGATTTTAATACAAAGGAAGTGAAAGTTAAAACTGGGTTTTCGGAACTTACAAACAGATAAAAAATAATACTCATTTGGCAGTTCTTTACGACTGACATTGACAATATTTATGGTGTGAATTGGTGTGTTGAATGATGCCCGCATAAAGTACACTGTACATCAATAAATCAATTCATAAATAAATCTCCTACCTCTTCTCTGTCATCATTGAATTAATTTAAAATGTATGTAAATAAACCTTTGAATATTTCTGTTAAAAAAAGTATATAATTATTACATATAACATTACTAACACTGTACATTAAATAATGAATACAGGGCAAGTGGGCAGGGCAAAGTTGTAAATTATAGTGATCAAAATATTTTTTTCTGTTTTGGTCAATTTTCAATGATACCAAAGTGCCAAAAGCCAAGTTAGTTTATGGCAGACTTTATAACACACTCAATAAATTGTCCATGGAATAATGGTAGGGTTTCATCGTTTCGTTGATTTCGTTGACCGATTCACTTGTATAGATTGTTTTGTTTTGTGATTAATTTAATAAAAACGATTAAGTTTTACATTTATCATGATTTCGTTTAATGCATCGAGTGTTATTGTCGCTGCGAAACGTGACGATTTGATCGACGTTTTGTGATCCTCAAGCAATAGTATAGTGATATTTTCCCACATAATTATGGTTAACTGACGTTAGACTGTGCATCCTCAATTATGGCAGAGCCAGGTTATTACCACAGTGATTACGTTCGACACCCAGTTCTTCACGAACTTGGCGTTAAGTATGGGATTAAAACGGAGTGTATTCCAGAAATAGCACTGCCGTCTAAGTTGGAGGAGCTCAAAGATGTCATACGTAGAGAAATACGTAAAGAACTTAAAATAAAAGAAGGTGCTGAGAAATTACGGGAGGTGGCCACAGACAGGAGATCACTCTCTGATGTTGCCAATATCGTCAAAAAAGCTAATATAAAGCTTAATGAACTTAAGTCAGACCTCCAAGAATTGGAGTCTCAGCTTCTTTTGTCTCGTGGGCAGTCTACTCCTACTTCACCTGAAGATCTCTCTTACGATGAGGAGATTATTCTGGCCTCAGAAGCTGCTCAGCAGCAAAGGCAACTGGGTGAAGCAACAACAGACAGAAAGTTGGCATCACTTGAAAAACAGCTGAACATTGAGCTCAAAGTTAAACAAGGAGCTGAAAATATGATACAAAGTATCAGTAGCAGCAACCAATCTAGGGACAAAAAATTACTTGCCGAAGCTCACCAAATGCTAGCAGATTCTAAGGACAAGATTGAATATTTAAAATTAAGAATTTCTAAGCTAACTAAACAACAAAAAGGAGATAATGCGGGATCTAATGGTGATGGGAAAAATTCTGAAAGTGGTGTAGCTGCTTTATTAGATGAGAGAATAGCTGAATTGAGGAACCGTCTTAGGATTGAGGCAGCCGTGGTGGAAGGCTCTAAAAATGCCATAAGACTTTTACAAAGTGACAAGAAAGTAACAGACAAAAAAGCGTTACAAGAAGCCCAAACAAACCTTTTAGAATCATCCCAGAAATTAGATTTACTACGCAGATCTTTAGACATGCGCAGACAAGAGCTTCCTAGTGAGAGCCCTGCATTTATAGAATTAGGACATGAACTGCGTAGTACAGCCTCAAGCCCTGGGTATGTGAGTTTGTCTGGCAGTAGTGGGTCTAGAGCACAGTTTTTATCTCCAGCTCCTTTGATTAACCCTTGTGTTCAAGTGACTGGTACATTAGAAGTAAGGTTGATGGGTTGTCAAGATTTACTTGAAGATGTTCCTGGTAGAAGTCGCCGTGATCCTACCGCTAGCCCATCAGACTTAAAATCATTTGTCAAGGGAGTTACAATTCGTAATTCTATGAAGTACACATACAGCATTAAAGAAGATACAAGTAATGAAATAATGGCAGTTTTAAAACTTGATAACCACAATGTTGCACAGACAAGTTGGAGACCATGTTCACAACAAGCATGGGATCAAAGGCATGTATTTAATTTGAGTTATTTCTCAACATCACTCAATTCTTTTTAGTATTTGTAATGCCATAACATTATATGCAATTGTAAACTCAATATCTTTGATTATGAGAAGAATAAAACATGATTACCCTACAATCAAAGATAAATTCTCATATTTTTGTTGCATTATATAACAAAATATTAATTGAACCTATCTTTGTATCTGGGCTTCCTTGAATTACAATCTTAATAATTCCTTGCTATTACTCATATCTTATCTATCTGCCGTACACATATTTGTAGTGTGACTAAAAGTTCTACTTTACAAGTAATACTGTACTCTTCTCTGGTTACACAAAAAAAATTACTAGGTAATGCATTATTATTATTTTGTATCTCTACATAGTATAAAACACTCACTTTTTCTGTCCCTATGTCCATATAATATGCTTAAATGAAATCTCTAAAATTATGCAACAGATTTAGATGTTTTATTTAATAGAGTAATTGAAGAGAAAAGTTTATAAATACATTAAATAGGAGAGTAATATAGTATTAGCATTGCACCTGTGCAAAGCTGGAGTGGGTTGCTATTCATGTATTCCTTCTGATTATAATATTGAACAAAGTGGAATATGATTCTCTAATTAAGTACTTATTATAATTTTCAGATTCACCATCAAACTAGATAAATCAAGAGAACTTGAAATCGGTATTCATTGGAAAGATTGGCGCGGTTTGTGTGCAGTTAAAGTTCTAAGATTGGAAGAATTTATTGATGATATAAGGCATGGCATGGCACTGGAACTCGAGCCGCAAGGCCTACTTTTTGCTGAGATTAAGTTCCTTAATCCTATCATATCTCGAAAACCTAAGCTTCAGCGACAAAGAAAGATTATCAAGCAACAAGGCAAGAATATACCAAGACCTTCATATGGAGAAATGCACATTCCTGCTGTTGTACTGGGCAGGCTCCTGAAACGCTCATCTCCCTCCATCCAAAATATTCAGACTGCTCACATAAACCAAGCTCAACAACATAGTTTTGAATCAGCTTCTATTGATAACAGAGAAATTGAAAATCCAAATGTAACCTTAGGTGGTATGGCAGGTATACGACCCCTGGGTTTGCCTTCCACGCCACTTGCGCCACAAATGCCTAGGACACCCCCACCTCAGCCCACTTTGCCTGTACAACCACCCCCTAATGTTTCTACGTTGAGAATGGAGAAAGAACTCCAGGAAGCATTTGCATTTTTAGAAGACTCTTATACAAGAGATAACTATGTCACAAAAGAACCACAGACTCCATCATGTGATACACCATTAGTGGAATATCCACCATCACCTTCACCTAAATTGGTTCTAGAATTTCCAAGTAATGAAGATCAAATAGTTGAGATTACTAGTAATATGAGAATATCGTCTTCTCGTTCGTCATCAGTAATAGATACTTTAGGTAAAGAACAGGATACCAGGAGGCAATCTGGCGAAATGTCCATGGACAGTTTCAGATTGCTAAGTGTTCTTGGAAGAGGACACTTTGGTAAAGTAATTCTTGCTCAATACAAACCAACTAATGAATATTTCGCAATAAAAGCTTTAAAGAAAGGTGATATAATAGCAAGAGATGAAGTAGATTCATTACTATCTGAAAAGAGAATCTTTGAGGTAGCCAATGCAATCAGACATCCGTTTTTGGTAAACTTATTTGCATGTTTCCAAACTGAGCAACATGTGTGTTTCGTTATGGAATATGCAGCAGGGGGTGATCTGATGATGCATATACATGCTGATGTGTTCACTGAACCTAGAGCAGTTTTCTATGCAGCTTGTGTAGTATTAGGCTTACAGTATTTACATGAAAATAATATTATATATAGGGATTTAAAGCTAGACAATTTACTGTTAGATACTGAGGGCTATGTCAAGATAGCTGATTTTGGTCTCTGTAAAGAAGGCATGGGTTGGGGTGATCGTACTGGTACATTTTGTGGCACTCCAGAATTCCTTGCCCCTGAAGTGTTAACAGAAACATCGTATACCCGAGCAGTTGATTGGTGGGGCCTTGGTGTTTTAATATTTGAAATGTTAGTTGGCGAGTCACCTTTTCCTGGAGAGGATGAAGGTGAAGTGTTTGATTCAATTGTGAATGACGAAGTTCGTTACCCGAGAACACTATCTTTAGAAGCTATCGCACTCATGCGTCGCTTACTGAGAAAAAATCCTGAAAGACGATTAGGATCGTCAGAGAGGGATGCTGAAGATGTTAAGAAACAGGCTTTCTTCCGAAATGTTAACTGGGAGCAACTACTTCTGCGTAAAGTTAAACCACCGTTTGTGCCAACAATAAATAACTTAGAAGATGTCAGTAACTTTGACAGTGAATTCACGTCTGAGGCAGCGGTGCTGACACCACCCAAAGAACCACGACCGCTTTCTGCTACAGACCACAAGTTGTTCCATGACTTTACATATATGGCAGATTGGTGCTAGTTTATAAATTGTTTCAGCCAATTTAAATTTAGATTATAATTTCTGATATTTAAATAGACAACTAGAGAAACCCCATTGCCTTACAAAGTGTGTGAAGATTTCTGTATTTTGATAATAACACTGTTATCTATACAAAAAGAGTTTCGAGTAATACAGATCCTCTTGTTAACTTGTATTTAATGCAGTTAAATGCAATATTTTATAATAAGCTGTATAATTTAATGTTCTTAAATAGTGCTAATGTTTATTTTTTTAAAATGACGTGTTATAGATTTATATATTGTGTAGTTATGAAATTAACTTAGATACTAATAATAATTTTAAGTGAAGGCGTGTCAAATCATATTACGTTTTCAGTCAATTGTATTCAGTAAAAAATAAAGGTATCACCAACATACATCTTTATTTATTAATAACAATTGAGTATTTTTTGAAAATAAAACAACTGCTTTGGAGTCGTAAGTTTCTAATATTACATTTGGTAAATGAGCATAATATCTGGAATTAATTATATACTGATTCAAAGGAAACACATTTGATAAAATGTGCTTTTTAAAGTCTTACTTCAAGACTATGGAAATAATACTAAATCCAAGAGGTCTTGAAAAGATTCCATAACTCAAACAAAAGTTTAATCCATACACATACAATAATCAGTATCCACCATCATAAAAAATTAATAATCAAGATAAATGTGGAAATTTCAAAATGTACATCTGATTGCACCAAAAGCAATGAACTTTTAAGATTAGAAATAGCCACTAATAAACAGTAAATAATCATGCTAATGTAATGTGATGAAACTTAAATATTCTAAGATTAGCTAAATTCATCACTTGCATATTGTTATTTATTTTGGTGCACCCATTTGTACATAATTTTTTTCTAAAATCTATTTAGGAGTTTCACACTTCATCTGAATGAGTATTTATTATCTAACATATTTATGATGTTCTGAAGTATAAGACCAAAGATACAGTTACCACTCAATGACTAATACAAAATGTTACTGTAATACATTAATTTAAAATACAGAAAGAAGAAGTTATATAGACTGTTTACACTCTAAAAATATGTACACATTTCTCACACAGAGCTGACAGTCTCAAAAATATTATAACAAAAGATGCGCTCACATCCGTGAGCCTTTTTGTTGGAGCACCTTAGCACGGTCTGTAGGTTCTATGTCATTGCTGTTCAGAGAACTGCCACATTCTCGGCTTACAACACAAAGGAACTCAGCATGTTCATCATTGCCATAATTATACTGGGAGCCAATGTTTATTAGCTGTTCGAACTTCCAGCCATCAGACATTGTGGACACCATTTGTGTCAATTCTTCTTCATGAAACTGTAGCACTCTATACACATGCTTTTTAGAATCTTTCAAGGGTCTCCTTTCTCTTAAACATATTCTTTCTTTTACTAATCTTATAAGTTCCGTAATATTATAAAACTCTGCTTCTTCCAATACACCCTCTTCGGCGATGTCATTGTTAATAACCAGTTTACCGTGACGGAGGTAATTGAGGACTGGTGAAAAATACGTGGGATCTCTGTCTATTAAGTAAGCGCCAGTTTCGTCCTGAAAACAGACGAATTTTAAAACGTATTGTATTAATAAAGTAAAACTCATTTACATACAAAAAGACAATAAGAAATTCAACAAACCCTGTCTGAAATCAAATCGCTGTCCTCTTGAACTAATCGATACAAAAATGAATTAGGGTCTCTAGATAATGTTGTCTTCGTAGTCAGGAAATATGTTCCACCAACATTAAGTTTAACCCACTGCTTACTGCTTCGCCTTTCATTGTTAAATTTTTGTATATTTTCGTCCAAGAAATCACCGTCACCAACTCGATCCGCCATGGCGTACCATAAACAAAACAAACAACTTTTTGATTCTAGTTCGTTGTATTCACATTGGATGAGTGGATAACACGCAGTGGTACTGCTGGCCAAACTAGCTTTTGGAACTGGAAGGCCCACCATTGCTGTTTCTTTTAAGGTGCACAGGTGCAAAGTACAAAAAATATTGTATTGCAAAGTTTAGGATTTAGAAAAATAATATTTTGTGAAAAATATCTTCTATCTAATCATTTTATTTACGGATGGCCTACAAAAAAAACATCAAAATTTAAATAGAATCTTTTCTATTTAAATTTGGTTTGAAAATTACAAGCTTAACTGCTTAGAGAAGTGATAATAAATATTATTCGAACGTTAAATTAATAAACCCAATATAAATTAAATTACAGGGTTCCCACACTACTTCCAACACGTAGAAAAAAAAATTGCTTGCACTATGGATTAAGTTTCATCTTTCATCCACTGTTGTTTGTGTCATTGAAGATCTAATATTTATTGAAATTTTAAATATAAGTTTCTATTGCACGGCACACGAAAAACTTGTGCTGAACATCAAGAACGTAAATCGAGCACTAAACAATTATTATATAATGAACATTTGATGTAACTAGCTTCAAAATGAGTAACAATTTGGATAATGATAGGTCACTTAGTAGTAAAATGCATCCAATAGATTTAGCTCCTCAAAAAATAACTATAGTGAAAAGTGTGAGTAGTGTTTCGAGTTCCGATATGAAAATGACGCATCTAATCCCGGGTCAAGCTAAAACAGCAGGTTCAAGTCAAATAATAGCTCATGCTAGCCCCGGAACGGGACTGATGCGTCCGGGACTAGCACAAATCATTGCGTCGAATGTTGCTTCACAGGTAAGTTTTTGTGAATATGGCTTTAACCAGTTTGTATTTTAGAACATTTAATATCATTTACAATTAAATTAAAATGACTATATCTATTTACAATACATAAAAACAACTGACAGCTTGTATACTTTATGTGGCATGTTAAATAAATTACTTAACATTATATGGAATTGGCTTTTTTTATATTGATTAATGTTTTCAGCCTCAAATGATAATCAGTGGATCACCTATTTTACAAGGTGCTCAAATTGTTAGTCAAGGGTCTCAGCTAATAAGTCAAGGCTCACAGATGTCCCAATCACAGTTAATTACTCCCAGTGGCCCTCTTATAAGTCCTGGCACTCAGATCATAAGTCAAGGAACCCAGTTGTCTGCACAAGTGTCAAATGCTAATACAGTTGGGTCAAGCAATGTTCAGTCAAGTGTGACCTCTTCTGTGAGTGGAACTCAAGTGTTGAATGTTGGAAGCCAGCTGGTCAGTGGGGCTGGTAACCTGGTGGTCAACTCATCTGTGCGTACATTGCCCCCTACAGTTAGAGTTCTACCTCCATTACCTCATCATAATAACAGGCCAGGTAAGAAATAATTTTAATATATAATCCAATGATAATATTAATGATGTAGTATCCATACAAAATGTGTCAAAACATGTGTAAATACAGATGACAGAAATTTCAGAAATTGTGACACAAGCCTTATTATTTTAAAACAAAGTCATACATTTAATAACAAACATTTATTTGTTTGCAGCTGTTCTGTCAAGTGTGCAAGTGTCAAGTGCAAGTGGTGTACTGGTTAGTAAAGGTGTGGGAGTTGGGGTCACAAGCCATGTGAGCCATGTCCCGCGTGGTCTCGCAGCTGGTGCATCCCTTGCTGTACGACCAGTCACTCCTGCTTCCAACACTCAAGCAGCTTCAGGTATATTTGTCTCATTACATCGTCATCTAATGAAGAATTTTATAGTAACATGACATTTTCTAAAAATTTTATTTTTATCCTAAAATAATATGTTTTATTTATTCTACCATGCAGAATACCAAAAATGTTATGCTAAATGGATAAATTAAGCCAGCCATAATTGCCAGATGGGTAGATGGATGGTACACTAGTTATGAAAAAAACCTTTGTGACAAAACCTTTATGTAGACACGCACATTATAAATGAAATACCACAACGGTACTATAAATTAAATAGTGGATAAAAATGCTTGGTGACTAGCTGGTCCACATTTATACAATACCTTTATCCCAGGTGGTGCTTGGTCTGGTGCATCCCGTGGTCCACGCAGTACCCTAGTGTACGGCCAGAGGGGGGCGCGAGTGAGCGCGCCAAGCTCTTCGCCAGCTTCTTCACAATCTACACACTCCACTGTCGTTACTTTACCTACGACGTCTGTACTAACTTGTAAGTAACACATCTTTTACATTAAACAATTTATATTATATCCAATTAAAATAAAGAAAAAACTCACTGAAAAACTAAAATTAACTTTCCAGCAAGTGGTGTAATAGCTGCTGCAGGGCGCGGAGCCCCATCGCGTACACCCACACCGACTCCTGCGGCCGCCGCGCCGAGACCACTTCCACTATTGCAGAGAAACTATCAACCTGCTAAGGTAAAAGTGTTGAAATACAAATTGGTTTGGCTAAGATATTTTGGTATACAGTACGGCCGACTTATCTTGGCGAGTCTGAAGTTAACCGTTTGTCTGCGCAATGGATCTTTTAGGAACAAAATTGTGTACTATGCAGCATTAAATCCAGTCATATGGGTTTATACATATATTAAGTTTTCAGAGCTTTTAGAGTTTTCAGAGTTTTTAGCTTTCTCGACAAAGTAGTTGTAATCATTAAGTCTAAAGTCCTTTTTTTGAGGAGGGAAATCACCAACTAATTTCTCAGTGGGGTTTACACTCGTACTGAATAAAAACCGCCCCGTTCCTTCTCCTGCTTCAGACCGGGGTCGCGGCCGTGGCACATCATTGCGCTTGACCCGCAACCCCGGTTGAACATCAGCCCTATTGGGCCCCATCTATGGTGGTCTACGGGCTCTTTGAAGCCCGCGCGGAGCGCTACGCACCCTACCCTCGGGTCTGGTCCTGGTCGGGCGGCGAGCTACCCTTGCTCCCCGTCCGCAGACCTGCGCGTAACTGGAAATCGTTACGCGATCTCCGACGCCCTGAGTGTCTCTCCCTGCGGCGGCTGGGGCGTGAGGAGGATACTTCCCTGACGCGCTCCGCCTCCTTCTTAGCGAGAATGACTACTTCGTAAAGAGTGGTCGGGTAAGTACCTCGCTCAGACGGAAGGTGAGGACGCTTTGGTATCTCTAGCGACTCCTCAGAGCGGTCTTACCGCTGCTCTAACAGCAAGGCCGACGTGGCTTCTGTCGCGATTTGTCTTACTAATATGGTATCTGATATGAATGTTTTAGGTGGTTGGTGTAGCCAGTGTGGGCGTTCGTGGCGTAGTGGGCAACAGTGCGCCCACCCAGCTGTACTACGAAGTGCCGCGCGGCGCGCAGGGCGGGCCCCCCGCCGCGCCCCCCTCCGCGCCCCCCGCCGCGCCGCTCGCCGGACACGTGGGGGCAGCACTGCCGCGCGCACTCGCGCCCTATCTGCACCAATCCTCCACACAACCCCAGCAGACTCAAGGTTACTAAGTTGAAAAATACTAATGCATGTTGTTGCAAAACTTATTGAAAATTAGTGATGTATCTGCTCTAAATATTGTATAATCTTGAAGTATATTGACAATCTAGTAGAACTTGCCATACATTTTTTATAATATTGTTTTAGTAACGGTTGTGAATGCTGTATCAGCATCGCCAGAAACCCGTGTTCCGGTATCCTCCGTCCCAGCTCAGACAGTATTGCCAAGACCGTCCATACTAAGAAAAAGAGATCTCGATGGGTAAGATTTTCTTAAAACCATTTATATATTTTAATCTTTCGACTGCAACTTAGTCAGCAATGTGACTTGTGCATATAAGGGGACCACCATCAAAATATTATCTGTGTTTATATAAAATCATAGTACCTCAAGCAAAACCTCAAAAAATCAAAGTAAAACCTCAAAATAATCACTATAAACTAGTGATGATAGTTTCGAAATAGTGATAGATAATGAATAAGTTTTTGAATAAAAACATACTATGTGATGTTATATTGTTTGATCAGGTCTCCAAGCAAGAACTCTAGTTTCGGTCGGTCAGGCTGGGAGGACGTGCCGGTTGGCGGGTGCGGCGCGGGCTCGGGCGGATCCACGACCATCAGCGCGTCATCCTCCCCCGCACCAGATGACGAACCCGAACCTCCACGTCCCGACCCTGACCTTAGTCCACGCAAGAAACCAAGGAAACAAATGTATGTACCCTTCTTTTGCAGTCTCTTATACGTACGTACATAAACACCTTTCTCAAAAAAACAGGATTTTATTTATCCACTAGGTCAATAAGTACCAGGAACACTTCAGAGATTTCAGACATTTTCTATGGAATTGGAATAAAGTCATACAAATTAATCATACAAACGATCATGCATACTAATTATGTAGACAAAGTTTCCTGGGGCCTAAGTCTACTATTTTCAAAGTGTTGTCATTCTTACACGATTCCATTGTCATTTTGCTAAAAGTTCCTTCGTAATCTGTTAATTCAAAATGGCTGATCATTGGCGTTCGGCGATGTCGTAATAGAATTAGAGTACGAGATGTCTTGTAACGAATTATTAACAATAACTGCACAAATATTCTAAACGTAAATCATTAAATAAAGGAACTGACATTTTTTTATTAATTTACCGCATTATGTCAAATATTCATTTGTCATTATGTACGAGATTACCGTTCTAAAGAATTATTTCAACGAAGTGGCATTGAAAAGTCATAATGACGCTATAGTGTTAGTAGATTACCAAACTTGTCAAAATCAACAATTTTCAAACCAATGATCTACTATTCTGACACTCTTGTAATAGCAGACTCGAGGCCCAGGTCAATCGGCTTAAAATAATCGGTGTAAAATATCTGCTTCAAGTTTATGCCAGCTTTATAATTTATCTACTATAATAATAATAATTTGTTAAAATATCTTCCTACATTAGCAAGTTAAACACGAGATAAATTATATGAATTGCCATAAAAAAATTAAATTGTAAATTATATACATTTTCTCTTTCATTATTGATTTAGAATACATTTCATCTGTATCTATTATTTCTGTTGTAGGTTGAGTAATGAAGTGAGACAATGTGACTATCAAGGAGAGGAGCTTCCGCCTACTCCACCGCCAGTCTCATTCAACCCTCCAAAACGTAAGTATCTCTCAAGTTACTAAAATACCTTACCTCTTCAATATTACGTATTTTGAATAAACTACGTTTTCGATCCAGATATCGAAGATAAACCAAAGTGGAAGAAAAGAATAAGGAAGGCTGTCCCTGCGGCCGTTAAGGGTTAGATATTTTTACGATAAACCATGACCTCAAATATTGACAAATGCTTGCAAGCAGGTTACATAGATAGTTATACTAACTAGAGACAGAAAATGTAATAAATAATAAAGGCATGTGGATAAAAAGACCCTCGAGTATAATATATTAAGTTAATTCAATATTTTTACGACATCCGATTCCGATTTATAATTATTATTGTATTTTATAATAATAACATTAATGTTTAGCTATGGATTATGACAGCCCAATAAATATATCTCTGCTTGTGCGATCGGGTAAAACAGCTGCAAAAAAGAAGTGATTGTTGATACTAGGTAATAAAATGAGCTTACTTTAGTAAATAAATCCGTTAAATCTCTTATTGTACAGGTCCACTTCTCAGCTCGAGTTACGTGTGCGGTTGGCGTAGTACGGCGTTGCATTTCACCCGCCCGTCTGACGTGCGGCGAAGGGAACCTCGCGCTCGGGATATCGTAGCAATTGCTAGCCAGAAACACGTGCTAACTAGCGCCGAAGGATGGAAAGTGCATCATCTCACTGCACAAATGGATGACTTGGTAATTTACCTTAACAATTAAATTACAGCCATTGTATCCGTCCACATATTTTACTTCTAAGAGATATTATTTTGACACATTTTATTGGAGCCAAACATACAAGCTAAATTTCTTTCTCTTGTAAGTAGCCTCTACGGTTATCCAATTTATTTCAAGGCCTGAGTCAATAGGTTGCTGATCGGTAGGCGTGCTCTATCGTAGCCCACATATTCGCATACCATCAGGCGAGATACTAGCCAGAATAGCCGAGATATCGCATATAATGTAAAACATACGCATTGCAATATTGTAGCCATAGTGCCAGTTTTCTAATTATATTATTCTTTCTATTTAGATGTCATTAGAATCTGACGTTGGAGAGCAGTTGGCGGGCCTATTGCGAGCTCTTGAAACAGCTTCAGGGCGCGCGATATCCGCTCTGCAGCCACATTCCCATACGATACTCGAGTTACTCAAGGTATAAATAAACCTACATAACTTATATAAGATTGTTAATACAAATCAATGTACCATGTGAATTAACTTTTATTGCATTTTCTGTAATTATCAACCACATTTTCGTTTCAGGGTAATATTCAAAGAAGTAAAATAGTATGTGAAGGAATACAAGAAGCTCGCGAGGACATTCTTCGAGTGTTTACACATAGAAACTTCGTGTCTGACATTCTCACAAGACAAGCCGATAAGAGATGTTTCAGGAAGCACCGGTCGCAGTCGTAGCTAACAGTGGAATCTCGCATACAAATGGACAGTATTTTCTTGTGATTCTATCGTCTCAAATGGACTTAGCCTCACTCAACATCACCGAACTGTTGTGGATCCTGTCAATTCAGACACCCGAGGTTACAATAATTCGATAGCTAGCTTAAGATTATCAGAATTTTTCAAAACACCGCCCAAACGAAATGTAAAATGTCGTCATTTATCCTATGAAGGCTAAGACTAAGGTTTGTATTGCAAAATTAGCCAGCTAAATAATGTAGATCAAGTAAATCGGCAATACTGTCTCCATCTGGTTAATAACATGCTGATGTCTCTGTTTCATCTTCTTAAAATTAGTTTTGTAGGTACCTAACACTGTTTCTTCTTCATCCTCTTTACCTACATCTCGGGTGCAAAGTAATAACATAGATAGTATTTTTTTTTAACTATATTTCTTAAATCACTAAAATAAGACGCTTTTGATCGCGAAATACTCGATTTGTGGCCCTGTTTGAATTGACAGAACTTTTTACATTTCATATACTACATACATAGAATTTTAAGCTGGTTGCGATTTATTGTATATTGACTTCTAATTTTTGGTCTAATTTGACCGGACATTTACTAAACTCCATATTGTAAATTAAATCTAAAAGACCTGATATTTTTTTTAGATTACTATGATGGTGGGTTGGGTCTCTAAGTGCAATAATAAGGCTTTGCACATGAATATTTTATAAAATTGGTACTTCCAAGAATTATATTGAGGTTCTAAACTTGTAAATAGATTTAAGTGTATATTAAGCAATGAAAAATATTTAAGTTGAGAAAAGAATGCCTTGAATGAGTTGTGTTGTTTTGGGACTTAATTTTGAAAAATACATGGTTTATAATAATTTGTTGTTTCACTTTCTTATATTCCTTGTCACTATAACATAAATTAATAGATACAAATAGATATTTAGTGGTTTACCACTTTGCGTTTGCGTTTTGTGTAGGTCTCCCAATAAGTTTCATTACAAATGTTTTTTTTCATAATCTTATATTCCTACACATTAATTACTTCCATGATGTTGAGACATGATTTTGAAATAAACGATAGCAATAACCAAACGACTCAACACCCCTCCCCCTCTTAACTCTTCTTTGGGGTGGGCCCCGTGGCGGTCAGACGATCGCATCTCAATCAAACAAAAGTAGGTATTTATTAGCAAAAACAAAAAATCTGTCGCATCCGTCCAAGGATGGCATGCTGTATGTATGTATATTGACGATGGCATTCCATCAATTGATTCGTCTTCTAGGCGGAAGTAACTCTTCAATGCACCTACCCACGACAATGGAGGGAGAAAAAGTAAACGTTCCCTTCACGTGCTACTTATGAGCTCTTGTATTGAGATGGTAAAGTGCCTTTAACGTTATTAAAAAATGTACTATATTATTAACAAGGAATAATAAAATGTTATAACCCGCATTTTTTGCCAACAAGCAATCAAAACTTAAAATAGCCATGCTTCGGTACGAATGAGTCGGCTCGACCGGAGTGAGCGAAACCACAGCCTCACACCGAACACACAGAAAACCGACGCGAAACAACATTTACGTTATGTTTCGCCATGTGAGTGAGGTTACAGGAGGCCCAATTCTTCCTCCCCCCATCCTTAATCCTCATATCCCCGATCCATAAATCCCTAATAAATTACAAAAACGCCGACAACGCATTTGTGTGTGATTGGTGGAGTGACTCCTTTGGTACCTACTACGAATGTCAATGTCCTCGTTCCTATGACCAATCCACTTCTGAGCAAAGACCTTCCCTTTAGTCCTCCACTATGAATGACAAATCGCCACCTGCATCCATTGGCTCCCCGCGATTCTAATGATATCATCGTCGTTGGTCCAGGTCCACCTAGCGGGGAGCATGCCCACACTACGTTTTCTAGTCTGTGGTCGCCACTTGAGTTCTACTTACTTTCCAGGCCTATCGGCCGTCCGTCCAGCGACGTGGCGTGCCATTGCTACTTCAGCTCGCAGTATTTAGGAGCTATATCGGTAACTTTGGTTCTTTTGGCGAATTTCCACATTTCAGATTTAGTTGCGCAAAGAGACCCGAGCATAGCTCGCTTCATCGCGCGCTGAGGGACTCAGAGCTCAACCTAGCTACCTAGTTTAAATTTGACTCAGGGGCCCAGGGATGTGTCTACAACTTCAAGAATGTCGTAACCGGAGTGATACTACGGCCCCACACAAAATCGACGTGGAATAACGCCAGCGTTGTGTTTTGCCGTGCGAGTTTGGGTTATCGAAGGCCCAATCCTTCCCCTCCCCCAATCCGAAAATATCCACCGTTGTTGCGGGTATCCATGGGTGGCGCTGATTACTTACCATCAGGTAATTCGTTGGCTAGTTTGTCGTTTTATTAGATAAAAATATAGTAAAAAAAGGCTCTCCAAATCATGAACCTGGAAGATGACTTAGAGGGAAGTAGCATCTTATAATCAAACAGCTACAATTATTTTATTGAATAATAAAAATCCTCTTTTGCCTTGAGCCTTTTTCAATTTGTTTGAATTTCAGTGCTAAATGTCAGTGTCACTCTGTCACTATTGTCAAATTCATGTGATTGTTTTTAATTCTGATTTCTAACCTACAACAAGAAATTGTGTGAGCAGTTTTAAGGAATTGAATTGATTAAGTTCAATTTAATTTATCTATATTGGTTTATCTATATTGGTAAAAACATGGCAAGCAGCCGATTAGAAAGAATTGGAACCATTTATTCAAGGTAAGTGTTATTCATATATTTTTCCTCATATTATATAAAAAAAATTAATGAACTTCTTGGTGAAAGTATTTTTTTTTATTAAATTTAATTTTCGAACACGAAATTAAGGCGGCAAAATAATGGCGGGATTTTCATCTACACTTAACATTCCGACTTTCGTAATCTGCTGTGTGCGAATTGACGCGTCTACGAAACTTAATTCTAAATTTGCAATTTACAATGTCGTCAAAAAAAGGAGGGAAGTCCAAGTTCCTAAGTGAAGATTTAAACGAATTGATAAATGAATCACAATTTCTAAAGGATTCTGTCTGTAATAAGAAAATTACTAAAAGACAGAAAAATGATTTAACCGAAGAAGAAAGCATATCTAAGTTGATTGGTCAATATCAAGCTAATTCGAAGAAAAAGAAGTTGGATGTAAATGTAGAAGCATGTAAAGAGTCACGACAGAAAATATTGGATGTTATGAACAATCAACTAGAGACAAGGTAAATGAGCTTTATAATACATAACTTTGAATAAAATTTAAAAATTACCAATTTTGAGAGAAAAGTAAGATACCTTTAATTTACAGGAAAGAAAAAAGTAATACCCTGCTGAAAAACTTAACAGAAGTGATGGTACAGCTGGAAGCAGATTGTAATGCCATGAAAGACAATGAAAAAAAGCTAGAACATTTAACTGGAGCTGTAGTAAAATGTATGCAGCAGGCCACCACAGCTCATAAACAGAAATTGAAAATACTAAGAGATATACATACTTCATTTAAAAAACAGTAATGCCGTTTTGCTAATATATGCTAATTGCATAAGTCTATCATGGTCAAGGTTCCAAAAATTGTACAAGAATAAAGCTACCTAGTTGTCATAATTGTGACAAATTCTTAAATCATTATTAATGTTTATTATGATGTTCCTGTTACTTGTCTTTGATTGTTTATTTATGATCTTGCATTACCATTTTAGATGTGAAGAAATGGAAATGGACCATAAAACTGAAACTGACAAATTAGCGGAAGAATTAGAGGATGACATAAAGAAACTACAAGAGAAACTAATTTCTGAGACCAAGAGAAGTGGCTGGGAAAACTTACGCAGAACAATTTTTCATGCAATGCAAAATGATTTTTAGTTAATTTGTTTCAATGATTTTTATGGTTATGATTTTAAAATAAATTATTAAAGTTCATAATTGCGTTTTTTATTCCTTAGTAACTTTCTCTTTCAGAGGTATTTTTCGAATAAGTACTTGATTAATGAAAGGATTAAAGAGCCTACCACACATTATTTTGAACAGTTGATTTACTTTTCTTTTATGTGAACATCGTTAAAAAATAAACAAGCAGCACTATTTTAAAACACACTTCTTTCTTACAGAGTGGAAGGACTGCTTACAAAAGGAGCAATAAAACCAGATGACAGGCCTCTGTGGTTTGATGTGTATAGAGCTTTCCCACCTCTAGTGGAACCTAAGTTTGCTAAACCAAAACCAGAAAACAAGCCTATAAGACCAATACTTTATCCTGAGGATAATATTAGAGTGTGAGTGTTTATTTTGTTACTAATTCTAGTTTCTACCAACTCGTTTGGCGTTATGTTCATACTGAAAGGAGTAACAAACAATATATACACTGTAATATACCACCTTTCACACATAAATTTCTGCCTCGAATATTTCGGGTACCTAACGGATTTTCGTTCATGAAATTAGCGAACAACGTATACCTGATCTTATGTATTGACTCAATTTAATTGGCTCTGCAGTTTAATCAATTGGGTACTTTATTTATTTTACAGAAAGTTTCACTCCAAGGGCTATGGTTTAGGGGCAATAAATATGATTAGCCAGACCGAAACTCAAACCAAGCGACTTGTACAACAATACGAGAAACTGAAATCCGAAGGTGTTCCAAAGAAGGAACTTGTTGAAAAGGCCGCAGAAATTGTTGGTAGTGAGCGGCAACTAGAGGCAGCTAAGGCTAAAATTACTGCAGAAAGCCCAGGATCCGTTACAGCGAAAGTTTTAGCTGAGGCCGATATTAAGAACATTTTCTCTGAAAAGTAAATCTATGTGAATTTAGAGCTAAGGTAGTTTTAATATTGTTATAGTTATAGATTTAGTTCAATGGTTTTCAATAAATTGTTAATAAACTTGTATTTCTTAGTTTGATTTAATTACCCACAATAACCTTCGATATGAGGTTTTTTTGTGAGGGGAAAATCATCAGATCAGAGACTTCTCCCGCCCATGGTAAGGCTGGAGGGAGTGTCAGACTCTTACTGACTAAAAACCCCCGTTCCTTTTCCTGTTCTGGGCCGAGGTCACGGTGCCTCATTGCGCTTACCCTGCAACCCCGGCTGCACATCAGTCCTATAGGGCTCCGTCTGTGGTGGTCTATTGGCTCTGAAGCGAGCGCGGATCGCTACGCGCCGTACGCTCGGGTCTGCTTCTGGTCGGGCGGCGAGCTACCCCTTCTTGTCGTCCGCAGACCCGCGCTTACGGTGACCGGAGATCATTTCTCGATCCCCGAGGCCCGAAATGTCGCCTACTGCGGCGGCTGGGGCGCGAGGAGGACAGTTCCCTCACGTTCGATATGATGCTGATGACAGTAACAGTAGTACCAAAGTAAACTACCAAGGACCTCATATTTTCAAGATACTATTTATAATATAAGTTGGGCGCAATTTCCAGCCCAAAGCTCTGCAGTAGTACCTACCACTTTATACCTATTGTATGAGTTACGATAACAACACATCAAAAATTGTTTTCACACCACTTAGAAAGTCTCGTTGTCAGATTACTTTCTGAATCCTCTCCCTATACAAAGTAACAATGCAAACAAGTTAATAATATGAATACAAATTAGAGCTCATAAATCTCTATCTTGCTTTATCGAACTTGCCCATTCGAATTATGCACGAAATTATAACAGTCGTGATTTGTTATGATATCAAATATTTACAATTCTGGTTTTTCTCTACAAGATAAGTATAGGTACATAGACACCTTTCTACGATGTGCAAGGTACCATGCGCCCTTATCTTCTTCAAAATAAAATGGACCCACACAATACGCATACCTAGCTATAACAATTGACTCACACATAGGATATTTAAACCTGTTTTTCAGAACAAGATTACTTAGTCCGTATACGCGTTAGTAATCACTATCTTATCTACAACTGATAAGGGCCCCGAGTAGAACACACCTATGCTCCTGTTTTAGTGTGTCATCAGTTTCGCCTTATTGCGAAGTGTGTTTTAATAATTCATTGTTCCAATTATAGAATTAAGTGCAAAATGGCGCAGAAGAGATCTCTGTGGTTCTACTTGGCTGTAGTTTTAGGTGGGTACTATTACTTTTGTTAATTTCCGTTATGTACTAGGCAATATGTTGTAAACAAACCTTGCGATTCCTTTGTTACAAGTTATCCTTACAGTTTTTATAGAAATAGCGTACCTATAATAGAGGTTTCGCATCTCAGTATCGTTTGCGATAACTACATAGGTTACTTAAATCAGAAGCAAGTATCCTATATTGTTAATTTAAGACTGTACTGCTGCTACTGCTTTTTTGTACCACCAACCTACTTCCATCTTGGTAAGTAGATCTGTTTTCTTACTTACTTTTATACTTATTATGTAGATACACATAACCGTTTACCCATAATATTCCTAAGCATAGTTATTTGTCTATCGTTGGGTAGCTACAGCATTCTATAGACTTAAAAAAAAAAAAAAATTGAACTGCATTCGTAGTACAAGTACCTACAATTACTAAGCAGTTTGGTGTAACTTTTTCTTGTAATATTTTTAGATTCCTATTTGCTACCCGCTGTGGTAGCTATCGAATGAAACCTGTACAAAGTATTTTCCAATCACTTGTCTATGTGGTTATAAGTACCTAGTTATTACCTACATTTCTTTTCCTTTCTAAATTCGTGAGTAAGTTTGTGAAAAATATTGGGTCATAAAAATGCAGGATATAATTATTGGTAGTCATAAGTAGCTTGGGACCTGGCGAAAAATAAGGCTTTCTTTCATTGGTTGATTCTCAATTATTATTGTTTTGTTGCAGTCATTTTGAGTACTTTAACTCAAGAAGCCGAAGCCAGGCGTAAAATTCTTCGAGGGCGACGCGTAATGACTCGTACTTATTACCGTAAGTGTAATTAACTTCAGTTTTATAATTATTAAGTAGGTACCAGCATTTATATTAAGTCGCACTTGGGTGCGAAGCCACAAGATGGCCTGATAAAGAAGAAAGACTGCTGAATAAGGAGGCTGTCTCCCGGTGCGGAGTGAATTAGGATTTATTGGTGTTATCAGTACCTACCCACCGCAGAATCTACAATGGGACCCAAATAGAATAATCTCATTTCTCATCAGTTTTGGTTTCTTTAACATTGTTGTAATGAAAGAAGTTACCTACTAAACGATACATACATTTTCATCATACTTTTTGCGGTTTAAAAGATTTCTCATTCTCTATTTTCAGATGGCAACGCTGTTCCAGCTTGGGCTATTAGTTTGATGTCTGGTATAGGCATGTTGGTTGTCGGTGGCGTGTTATACGTAATCATGAGAAAGATTGTACTTTCATCAGAAACTGGATCCTTGAATACATACCAGCCAGCTATGCAGCAAGATGTTTGAGGAGCTAACACTGATGTGATTCAAGTCTATTTATAATATTATAATTAATTTGTAAGATTTATGGTATAGCATACATAGCCTAGTAATTGACGAAAATCGAACGAACGATTTTACTTGGAATATTGATTCTTCCAGCACTACTACTGCAACTGATACCACCTATTAAGACAGTTTACAATGTTTTATTACTTTGTTTTATAGTATACTTTTAACTAGTTTACTAAAATATTGTTTATATTTCTAAAAAATAAAAAAGCCGTTGTAGACATTGTTATAATTTATTTTAGCTTTAATTATACAATCGAGCTGAAAGGGTACTTATATGAAATTCATCATTTAAACGAACATGTCATTTCTGAGATTGTATTAGACAAAGGGAATTATTTTAAAATACATGTGTAAGAAGGAGTCTTAAATATTAGAATTCTCTGCGATGATATTTATCAGGATCAAAGTAAGAAGTAACGACAACGCGGTTACTGAATTTGCGACCAGTCAAAGTTTGCTGTGCCTTTTGGCAATCAGCAATACTATTAAACTCGACAAATACCTGAAAACAAAGTACCAAGATTAATGCAAGTTAATTGAATCATTATATTATTACATGACTGTGCAAACAGCGTCAAAAATAGTTTAATGGTGTGAACATACTTTTCCACATCCAGGAACTTCAACTCCCTCGATTGGTCTTGGAATTTCTATACTGCGTACACAGCCATATTTGTTGCACTCTTCCCTGTAAAAATAATATTACATTTACAATAATAAAGTTTGACATTGAAGGAAATTCAAACATGTTCTGAATAAGTGAGAATAGTGGGTAAGTTGTAGATAAGGATATTTTAACAATACTAACTTGATGTCTTCAAGGATGTCTTCATACTCCTCTTCGTCACGTAATTCGTCAGGTGTGACCATATTGAGGAGACACAATACTTCTGTAGGTGGTCCGGCGCCTGCCAGTGTGAGCCCAGCAACTTGTAACTGTACTGGTGCTGCTCCTGTCATAGCTGCACAATTATGAAGAAATACATAAGAATCTCTGTAGTCAAAATAAAGAATTAAGACAACTGTCATTTAATTTTACCTAATGTTGAATTCTTGGCTCCAATACTTGCTCGTTGAACAATGAGTTTCTTGTCACCCAGCTGCATTCCATTCAGACCTGCTATAGCCTAATGAGAAATAATAACAGTTTAAATTGGAAAATTGCAAAAAAGTGAATAATAAAAAGTAATTTTAGTGAATATTTATTTATACCTGATCAGTCATTGATATATCAACATATTCAGCAAATGCATAGCCTTTGCTTAGTCCAGTTGAGGAATCCTTCACCAAATTGAAAGCTCGAAGTTGTCCAAATGACATCAGCAATTCTTTTACCTGTTTCACACATTTTTAAATTAGAAAAAAAGTTGTTTATTTTTTAGGTTTGCTCGACACTGAATAAATATTTAGATACATGATTTGGTCTATTATGCAGTTGTACATTCATTACACACAATTTTTTAGTGTTCCCGTAACATTTGCTTAGCAAAAGGCAGCAAATATAAAATGAATGTTATCTGACCTGTGTCTAGCCGCATGTTAGAATCAGATGTGAATGGAGGAGACTTGCCTTGAAGTGCCGACGTCTCATTCAAGTACAAGACGTATAGGTGAGAATGAGAGACAACAGTGACACGCGGGCCGCGAATGTGCCATATCTAAGCTAGGGAGGGGCAGAAAGCAAACTATATCAGTGAGTTGTTTCAGAATATATCGAGCGTGAAGCGCACGCTCGTCCCGCTAGGGTACCTGTGAAAATACCTGAAACTGACCAAAACATAACGCGGCTCACTGCTGGCTCCACCGTAGCCCTGTCAACTGTTGAATCTCGCCCTGAAATGGCTGCGGCACCTAATACTACCTCCTAATGGGAACATCTACAGTCATGTGTGCAATATTTGTGGTTAGCTTCCGCATCAGTATTGCTATGAATGACTTACGTATGTTCGTGTCTATTTTGATTGTTACACCATACCATATGGTACTGAATATTTCAAAAAACATGCTTCATGTTTAATGGCCTAAAGTGCTAAAATAATTTAGGTTCAAAACAAATATTAAAGAAAAAGGATGGAATGTGATGATTTAGTTCACTTCAAGAGAAATCCTAAGAATCTGTGTGTAAGAATACAAGATGCAGTCGCAGTATAGACCTGCAAAATAATTTTGTATCATCAGTATGTAGAGATGCATATTATTTATAATACCTTGATTGGAAATTTGGAATTATACATAAATGTTATTATACTCCTTTACACTGTTAAATATAAATATTTACAGTTTAAATATAGGGTTTTTGAATGAGTAAAATTCTTCAATATTGTACATATTAAAGAGTTTTACTTATTGTTGTTCTTGTAATTAATAATTATTAGCATTGATTTGAGTTTTCGGTTCCAGTACAACTTTATCATTAGGATAAAGTATAAATGTTCAATTAGGTAAGCTGTGAAACATTGATCCCTTGATCTTCTTGTACAACTTTAATTAAATTACGATAATTTAATTAAACTAAGTTAGGTTATATTGTAATATTTTCAAGGCATTATTACCAACAAACCAATGTATCACAGAAAAATTATTCATAATGACTATCAGATAGCAGTTACTTACTTGGTCCTCATTTAGATAATTGGGCAAACCGCCAATAAATATTTTGTGGGGAGAATCTGGAACTACTGTACTAATTACACCAGCTGAAAAGAAAAAACATCACTGTGAGAAGAAGTAGTTTTTGTATTTTGTTTGCTTGCACACGAGAAACATATTGGAAATGGGTATAAATAATTAACTAAATAACTGTTAACTTACCCGGCACATTAATAGCAGGATTCTCAGTGCCTGGCATAGGTTGGTAATCATGTGGCCGTCGAATCTTCAAACTCTGCCCTTTGAAGTTGATGCCATCAAAGGCCATAGCCTGTGTAGTCTCATCTATGGATCTAAATTCAAGGAATGCAAAGTTTTTGTCCAAATTAATTTGACACGCTAACACGGGGTTGCCTGCCGCTTGCGCTAAGCCCGAAAGATGCATCTGTTGGTTGAAGAACTCCATAGTCTCTTCTTCTGTAACGCCAAATGGTATGTTGCCGACGTACAATCTTCTTGCTTGACGTGTGATCGTGGAACCGACGACTGGCACAGCGGCTTGTGGTGTATCGGCGACAATATTGGCTGGTATTTGCCCGGCCGCTTGCATGGCTTTATATTGCAGTGGTGTGATGTGCTCAAACCCTGGTGGTGGAACATCCCAGTACAAAGAAGGCTTGCGCCTGCGGGATCTTTTACTTTGTGACCTAGATCTGCTCCTTCTCGCTGGCTTCTCACGGCGTTCCCTAGAACGGGACCTAGAACGCCGCCTTTCCCTAGAACGAGACCTGCGTCGGCGATCTGTAATCAATGTAATACAATTATTAATATAAGATAATAGTAAATAGAAAACCATGCATCTGCATAGGATACCCTACCTTTGTCTTCGCCCATATTTCACTGTTTCACTCTACTTTAATAAGTAAATATTACACTGAACACTGAACAGTTCTCTCAAGCTAAAGCAAAAATACGACTTTGCAAAATGGCGTCGAATGGGAACATCACAGTTTACACCGTTTTTGTCCTAAGCTTTAAATACTAGTCTTTTTCTCTAAATTTACATTCATCAATGTTATGTACATCTTTTGTATTTGTTACATACATTTTTGACGAATTTCATAATAAGTAAAGAATAAAAATTCAATTAAGCCCTAAAAGAAGTAACATTTATCTTAACCATCCAATTTATAAATCGGTTCATACACCATCCTGCCTTTGGGCCGACAGACCAATCGGGCACGAATTTTAATTGGCGATTAAACTTTAAACGTTTTCCATTAAAAGCATAACTATAACTTAGATAGTATTTTCAGCAAGTTGAATCTCCTTACTTATATATTTTATTTATATTATAATTTTAATAATTGACCTACATACTGGGGTGTCATGCCCTTGCATGGCACACCTTAGCAAGACCCATAGAGCATTCATAAATGCATAAAGTTTTATGTCAATAGTGACAACAAATGTCAACCTTTATACGACCAAATTCAGGAGTTCCTAAATGCTAAAAGGTGTGAGAAAATAATTAACAATAGCTTTAGGTGGATAACCTACGTATGTCAAAACTCCAACGACTTGTTTCTTGTACAGAAAAGTGAAAGTTTGTGAGAATTTATATCTATATTACCGCATATCGAAATTGTTTAGCTCCATGGCTTGTTGGTTTTTGATGAAACTTTATCCAAGTAGTGTATTTTGCATCATATAAATATGGTGAGTGTCCTTTCATTTAAAAAACGTTAAATATGTTCATTTGTATGAAACTGGGAATGCTTGCCTCAATATTTAATTAAAAATAAATTTATTTTAGGACTTCCAACAACAAAATGGACAAATTCGGAAAAGAGTCAGCAAAGCAGTGGATAAAGTTGCCAATAATGATGACAGCAGTATTATCGAGGGTAAAAATACGAAAAGAAACACAAAAACAATTGGGTTGATTTTTATATCGTTACTTTTGGATCTTCTAGCTTTTACGATGATTTTACCTCTTCTGCCATCACTGCTGGATTACTATAATAGAGAAGAAGGCAAAGGCAACAGCCTCTACGCATCTCTTTTGAGAGCAGTTCAAAGTTTTCAGAAGTTTACTGGAGCCCCTGATCAATTCGCGTCGGTTTTATTTGGGGGTGCACTTGGATCGATGTATAGCTTTTTACAATTTTTGACAAGTCCAATTGTGGGAAGCCTCTCAGATGCATATGGAAGGAAACCTATGCTATTAATCTGTTTGGTAAGTTTAATTTAATCACTTTTTCAACCTTTTATGATGTCATGATAGTTAATAATTACCTGTATTCATTGTTGTGAAGATTTAAAGAGCAAAAATATGTACTTCAAACTTGTAATATTATTCTAAGTTCATATTTTTTTGCTTTTGTTATTTCAAGCACATTGATATGAAGTAATCTAATAATGGGTAATTAAATCAAAATTAATGTTATTAATATAACTGCTAAATTAAGTTTTATTTGTAATACAATGAGATATCAAGTTGTTAGTGTTGGAGTCATGTGGGTTTATCTAATAAGTTTCTTAATAAGATATGTATTCAGTGATATGATCCAGATCATGGTAGTATCTATCAGCACATCACTGATAATACAATATCTTAGTAAAGAAACTATTACCTACAAGTGGAATGTATTTCCTTAAAATACAATTAATTTTCCTGGATAAATATTGGATCCATTTCTATACAAAAAAAGAAAGATAAATAGGTTGTTCAAAAATAGTGAAAAATTATTGACATACTAATGGCATTTTTGTAAAATGGACTTTTATTTTCATATAAATAAATATTTGAGTCTGGTTTACACAAACAATGAATATAGTGTGGTGGGGTATTCTATACTTATGCTAATTATTTTGCATTTACATAAAATGTAGATACTTAATAAAATTATTATACTTCATTACAAGAGTATCAACTCATTATTTATTCAAGTGTTATTACTTATTACTCAAGGTTACAAGTAGAAAACATACTTCCCTTATGGAAAGGATGAAGTCATGTAATATCTACATTTGGTTGCTTAGCCAAAATGACTCTTAGCTGTACAACATCATTAAATGTGATTTTGCCCTGCACTATAATTGAGTATTTATTGCTCAGGAAAAACAATGTTTCATGATTGTGAAACTTCTTAACAGGATTTCCTGTTACTTAACTGTTATTATTGAAATCTAATTATTTTACCATTATTTTAATTAATTTTTTTAAACCATTTTCTATACTAAAATGCTTTATAAAAACATAGGTATGTTATGTTAAATATAGTTAACTGAGTTTATAAAGAAATGTTACATGTTTCCATTTATTTTATACTAGCTAGTCCAGCGTGGTTTCACCCGCTTTTCACCTCCATTTAATCGTAGCGTGATGTTGTATAGCCTATAGCACTCAGGAACATTCTAGCTCTCTATTAGTGAGAGAATTTTGGAAATCCGACCAGCGGTTTCAATGATTACCCCCTACATACTAACTTACAAATTTTACCTCTTTATAATATTAGTATAGATAATAAGTCTGTAATCTAGAAGCATTTAAATGTAAATTATACTAAAATGCAGATATTTATGAACCTGAAGTCAAACATATTAAAATAGATAATAAAAAACTATGAATATTTAACAGTTTTTAGATGACATAGGTAATTTCATTCTATTTCACGTGAATTTTGTAAAATATTCTTTTTTATGGAATGGGTCAGCAAACGAGCAGACGGATTACCTGATGGTAAGCAAGCGGCGCAGTCTATAGACAACACCAAAGGAGTTACGAGTGCGTTGGCGGCCTTTTGGGGATAAAAGATGGATAGTTTCCGGATATTTAAGGATTCGGAAGGGGTGGGGAGAGGATTTTTATTTATCAGCCGGTCACAGCCAATTTCTATATGATGTTTTCCCCCCTGACAGACTGTACTAACATGAAGTCAGCCACTTATTATAAATGTCGCCCGCGGCTGCGCCAGCGTGGATGCCGACCAAAATTGGCCAAATCGGTAAAGGCATTGTTAATAATACTCAAGGCTGACAACACATTTCTGCCTCACTTCTCTGGTGTTCATGGCGGCGATGATCGCTTAACATCGGGTGATCCGTCTGCTTGTTGGCTCCTAATCCATAAAAAAACCAAATTCTAGATAAAATAGTCGTATTTACAACTGTATAAACAATAACATAGGATTTTCTTTTTAAGGTAGGAATAACACTGTCGCATGCATTATGGAGTTGCGCAAGCACGTTCAGCGTATTTGTTCTAGCTCGATTCATTGGTGGATTGAGCAAAGCCAACGTAAGTCTTAGTATGGCCATAGTAACCGATGCTTCTAATGAGAAAACCAGGGCCAGAGGAATGGTAAGATAATTTTCAAACTTTTTAAAATATCGTATTAAATACATATATGAAATTATTATGATATACATGTTCATCGATGTAGCCATTGCACTTTTTTATATTTATATAAGCAACATTTGTTCAAATAAGATCAATATTCGGCCAAGCGCGAGTCAGGACTTTGCGTTGGTATTGAACAGCTAAGTTGATATGTTTAACAAACCATATAAAATAATTTTCTGTTTGTACTTTTTCAGGCTTTAATAGGCTTGGCATTTTCTATTGGTTTCATTGTTGGACCAGTTACCGGAGCATGGTTTGCTAAGAACAGTGACTTAAGCTCTGGCGCCTGGGGCGAAACGCCCGCTTTCTATGCCCTCTCTCTTTCTCTTGCCAACATACTACTAGTATTATTATTTGTTCCGGAAACATTGACGAAAGTAAGTATCGAATTAGGTGTTGTTAGTTGTATTTATTGATTAATATTTCTGCTACTTTAACACTAAATGTTTTGCAGGACAAAAGAGCACCTTTATCATTCACTCTGTCTAAGTCAGTGGATTTCGTCTCTCCCTGGCATCTACTAAAATTTACTGCTGTTAAAAATCTTTCGAAGCATCAAAGTAGAGTATTATCGAAGTTGGGACTGATCTATTTTCTATATTTATTTATATACTCTGGTCTCGAGTTCACTCTTACATTCCTCACGCATCATACCTTCCACTACACTGCTATGCAACAGGGCAAAATGTTCCTGGTAATGGGTAAGTAGAAAGTAGTTTTTTTTAAGAAATATTTTTTACGTCTTCTCCTCGTTTTACTATCCATCCTTACACTATCCAACTTAACATTATTTAGCCAACCATTTATTTTTCAACTAATTTATTATGTGCATGTTCTCTATATTGCAATATGTTTCAGGGCTCATAATGGCGGTGCTGCAAGGCGGTGCCGCTCGTAGGTTGGGGTCCCGAGGCGCGGAGGTAGCCGCTAGGGGTGCACTAGTATTGACCCCAGCATCTTTCCTGAGTGTAGCCTTTGCAGCGCTACCGCATCCTCCTTTATTTACCCCAATAACTTGGCTTTGGCTCGGACTGGTCTTATTTGCACTCTGTAAGTAGCTTTGTTTATCTTATTTCTTCGATCCTTATTGGAATCCAACAACATTTGATATTTTTTTACATTAGCGGCCGGTATCATTTGCAGACCAACTCTTTTTTTAAGAGGGCTTTAAACAATATGCAAATTAAGCCTATCATTAAATCAATTATCTAGAGTACATATTTTATAAGTTATCAGTATTTTTACGATTGCGGAAACACTATTCTCGTTTATTTAATAAGATAAGCCTTTAAGGTTGTTATAATTTATATTTTCGCAGCTACGGCGTTCGCGGTATCATGTATGACGTCGATGGCCGCGGGTAAAGCGCCAGAGGAAGCACGGGGTGCAGTACTCGGTACACTAAGATCGCTAGGCGCCCTCGCTCGAGCCGCAGGACCTTTATTGGCGTCTTCAGGTAATACGTAATTTAAAAAAAATAGTTAGGTTTATACAGTCATCTTCTCAATGAAATGCGATTTATGCGTATTTAATGATAATATACGCACTTATGTCGCCATCTGACTATATACATAGTTATTGAAATACATAGAATTCAATAGTGCCATATCAATTTCAAACTAAGTCAAGATTCTATATCCGTATTAGAACATCTACTGAACAAGTTCTTGACCTATAATTTCACAGAGTTCTTATCTCTGATACGATACGTATCCTTATCAATTGGTTACTCATGCTTCACATATTTATGTACGGATAACCAACTGTAGTAGGGAAACTCGTACTTGTTTCATTAGTAATAAAAACACTATCGTCAATACTGCGAAGTTGACTGATCACTTAATTTTGTTATCAAGTAATCGTTCAATGAGTAAAAAACAAAATACTTTCGGCCTCCAGATCCGGTAATTTACCTGTTTATGATATTCGTATGTAAACATATTTATATTAGCTCCCGACCTTATTTTAAAGGAACAAAAATACAGATGCCTGTGATGTAGTTTTAATAACAAATGTGGGTGGAAGAGCCATTCTTCGGTATAGAATAGGCCTTCTGGAGTAATACCACGGACTCACAGAATACCGGCGTTAAGCAACTTATACGTTGTTTTGCTGTGTGAGTCAGGTTACCGCAGGCCCCTTCTTTCCCAATCTCAGCTTATGCTCAATCTTTAAATCCCCTATCCATAAACACCTAATAACCCACAAGAGGCCAGCAAGGTTCTTGTTGTGTAAACACATGACAGGATTTGCTACGTTTTACACCTTCAAATAACACGTTCAATCTGGTATCAAACACGGGACCTTGTAGCTTAGAGAAAACTAGCTTCTTTTAATGTGACTAACATATCGATATCCATTTTCTCCATTGATATTATAAACTTAATTGATACCCACTCGTACCATAATGTAAACTATTTTTTTTTGTTTCAGTGTACTGGTGCTCCGGCGCAATGGTCACGTATACAATCGGCTCCGTAATTCTAATCATTCCTGCTGTGATGTTAATTAGACTGAAAACATAATAAATAATAATGCATAATGCAGCTTTTACACTGCATCCATGTACAATAAATATGAACAAGCAATAACCTTAATAACATTTTATTATAATTTATTAAGAATTCCATAATTTATTAGTATTATATTCTAATATACAATTGTTCTCTATTATTTATGTTGTCTATTTTTGTAAACGTTTTCTTACTTATTTTCTCGAATAAACAGTATTAAAACATATGTTTTTTATTACACTCAAATAACACCCTTCCTCCGGGTCTTAATATTGTGACAGAAAACTCTTTGACATCATGACGTCAATGGATGGTTGTCAAACGTTGCCTAGAGATTGTAAATTTCGTCGTGAATTGTCAACACGAGTTGGTGTAATCGGTAAGGCGTGTGGATTACACCACAGAGACCCCGAGTTCGAGTCCCGCCGTAAACATGAAGTTTTTTAGTTGATGGAAGTTTTGTCGAACTTTCTGGAATATTTGAGTGAAAGTGATGAAAAATTAAGGAGCGAGAAGAAGAATAAATAAAAATGAATAACGAAATTATTGGAAGATTCTGGAGGCATGACGATCAAAAAGAATAACGAAATTGAATGTTCTAGAACCTGACCGGGGGTATATAAGCGGAACTGCGGCTCACCGCTGGCAGTTGAGTTCTAAGTCTAAAGCGATTCGGAAGAAAAGGAAGAAGTGAGAAAGAAGAAAAGTGAGTGAAATAGTGAAGTGCAGTGAAATAGTGAAGTGCAGTCAGTTAAGTGAGTTAAGTCAGCGTGAACGGCAAAGTTGTGTCAGTCGGCCGGACTCTGCTGGAGAGGAACGCCGATAACTTAACTCCGTGGACGCTGTAACTTAAGTGCAATAGAAAGTCTGAAAACCGGTATTAGTGTTTCATTTCATCCAATCCCGTAACCCAAGCCCGCATAGTCAGGAACGTGACGTCAGGCACGTAACATTTGGTGTCAGAAGTGGGATTGGAGAAAAATGCCGCTAGTGCCGCAGGACGTAAGAGGAGTGAGTACCCGTTCAATGTCAGAAGCGCAGCGTGTGAGGGAAGAGGGTGCTGCAGCTCAAACCAGCGATGCAGAAGCCAAGCCTGTGCAGGTGGATCTTCTGCTACAGCTGCAGCAAATGATGGCAGAGCAAGCGAGCCGCCAAGAAGAGCAAGCGCGCCGCCAAGAAGAGCAAGCGCGCTGTCAGGCAGAACAGCTGCGGGAGCTGAAAGAAGAGCAAGCGCGCCGCCAAGAAGAGCAAGCGCGCCGCCAAGAAGAGCAAGCGCGCCGCCAAGAGGAGCAAGCACGCTGTCAGGCAGAACAGCTACGGGAGCAAGCACACTGTCAGGCGGAGCAGCTACGGGAGCTGAAAGAGATGCATAAGGATTTCACGAAGGGACTGCAAAAGGCTGTCGAACGGGTACAGGAAGTGGAGGAAGGGTTAGGCAAGTTGGAACATCGCGTCATGGCCATAGAGGAGAGAGTGGAAGAAGAGATCTCCAAAATCAAGCAGGAAATGACAAGCCCAAGCCCTTTGAAGAGCCGAAGCCGTCTTGCAGCCGTTTTTGACGCCCCAAATGCGGCCTCAAGCGCAACGAAAGGGCTCAAGATTCCCCATTACGACGGAACAACATCCTGGACCGCGTTCAAGCTACAGTTTGAGACACTTATGGAGGCTTATGGTTGGACTCAGAAGGAAGCACAGTCAGCCCTCACCCTGGCCCTCCGTGATCAAGCGCTCTCAGTGCTGGAAGCTATCGGCGCAAGTGGGGATCTTAGCTTTAGTACCCTCCTCGACGCACTTGAGGCACGTTTTGGAGACAGCCACCTCGAGCACGTGTACAGAGCGCAATTAAAAGAGCGTACTCAGCGTGCTAATGAGAGTCTACAGCAATGGTCCGTGGAAATCGAGAAACTTGTGCGTCGAGCTTTTCGGTCGACTCCATCAATGATTGAAGGCACGCTTCTCCAAGCATTCATTGACGGTGTTCGGGACCCCGAAGTACGAGCTGCTGTTCATCTGGGCCATCACAAGAACATGAAAGAAGCTCTGGCCCATGCATTGGAAGTGGAAGCCGTGCGTGGTAACTCCCGTACCTTACGTCTGCGGGAAATGACGACAACGGAGCAGGTACCTCCACGCCGTCGGAACTTCATGTGCTATGGATGCGGAGAGCGTGGGCACATGCGGAGCGACTGCCCGAAGAAGGTGAACCGCCAGGACGCGGCGGTCTCAACTTCTGACCAGCAGGGAAACTAAATCCAGCCAGGGCTGCGGGGTGGGCGCTGGCCGGTAGTGGAATAACCCCAACAATCTACATCAAGCAAACTAGCGATGGAAATACTCTGGTGATAGACGGTCAAGTAAATGGGAAAAACAGTCAGCTAACATTAGATACTGGAGCTTCAAGGACGGTGATAAATGTTCGGCTGCTCGGGCAAAACATCAGGAAACACGTTAAACCAATTGTTGGCCTACGAATGAAATCAGCTACCGGCCAGTGCATACCGATAAGTGGAAAACTGCATGTAACAATCAAAATTGGGGAACGTGTTTATCGACATGAGGTTATTGTGGCCAAAATTCTGGATGACTGCATCCTGGGACTTGACTTCCTGCAAGGGCACCAGTGTAACATCGACTTAAAATCTGGAGTATTACTATGTGGAACTGAAGAAATTCCGATGAAGGGTGGAACCCTGGGAAAAGTTTGCTGTTTAAGAAGAACTGTTCTTGAACCAAAATCACAGACTCTCGTACCAATCGCATTACCTAGGAGGAGGGAAGGAAGTTTACCTCTAAGGTGCGCTGTGATTGATAAATCGGAACACGTAAACTCATGGCTACCGGCGAGAACTGTCGTGGGGTCATCTGATGTCAACCGCATTCCGGTATTCAACTTCAGTGATTCAAAAATTACGATTGAAGAAGGAGAGCCTGTGGGCGTATTGGAAGAAGTGGCCTGGATAAGAAAATGCTCGGAGAATCTTGTGAAGAAGGACAGTACGGGAATAGACTTTGTAACGAAAATCTTAGACGAAAACAAAAGTCTGACAAAAGTGGAGACTATGAAAGCTAGAAATTTACTTCTTCGATTCTCTGATGTGTTTTCAAGAAGCGATGGTGATATTGGCCGAACTGGTTTAGTGAAGCATAAAATAAACACAGGTGATACAATGCCAATTCGTCAAAGGCCCAGACGCATACCATTCGCTCGTGAGAAAGAGGTTGAAGAAATGATTGACGATATGAGGAAAAATGACGTGATAGAGCCCTCTTCTAGCCCTTGGTGTTCACCTGTCGTGCTTGTCAAGAAGAAAGATGGTTCAACGAGGTTTTGCGTAGACTATCGACGATTGAATGATGTAACCAAGAAGGATAGCTACCCGTTACCAAGAATCGATGACACACTTGACACACTGAGTGGCATGAAATGGTTTTCAACGCTCGATCTGAAAAGCGGCTATTGGCAGGTGGATTTGGATCCCAAAGACAAGGAAAAGACCGCATTCTCAACTGGGAAGGGACTCTGGCAATTTAAGGTGATGCCATTTGGATTATGCAATGCACCGGCAACCTTTGAGCGTTTGATGGAACAGGTGCTGGCGGGACTGCTGGGCGAAACCTGCCTAGTTTACCTCGATGACATCATCATTGTTGGACGGGATTTTGACGATCATCTAAGGAAATTGGAAAAGGTACTCGATAAGCTGCGTGGAGCAAATTTAAAGTTGAGTCCAAAGAAATGCTCTTTCTTCAAGCGCGAAGTGAATTATCTAGGACATGTTATTTCTGAGAGAGGAATTGAGACTGATCCAGCCAAGACTGCCGCTGTTAAGGAATGGCCAACACCTAAAGACAAAACGCAAGTTCGGGCATTTCTTGGATTGTGCTCGTATTATCGGCGGTTTGTGAAAGGATTCTCGGACATTGCCAAGCCTTTGCATCGATTGACAGAGGAGAAACGTGCCTTTATCTGGGACGAGGATTGTGAGCAAGCCTTTCGAGAACTAAAAGAACGGCTTTGTAACACACCAATTCTCGGATACCCCAGCGCGAAAGGAATATTCGTAGTTGATACGGATGCCAGCAATATTGGAATAGGAGGTGTCCTTTCACAGCGCGATGGTGAGCAGGAGAAGGTTATTGCTTACTTCAGCAAGTCACTATCCAAGCCGGAGAAGAATTATTGCGTGACCAGGAGGGAATTGCTGGCCGTAGTCAAAACTCTGCACCATTTCAAGAAGTATTTACTGGGACGGAAATTTTTGATCAGAACTGATCACGCTGCTTTGAAATGGCTGCTTCAGTTTAAGGATCCCGAAGGCCAAGTAGCCAGATGGTTGGAACAACTTCAGGAATTTGACTTTGAAATCGAACATCGCGGCGGAAGAATTCATGGCAACGCAGATGCATTATCGAGACGCCCATGCGTGGAAGATTGCAAGCATTGTGCCAAGAAGGAAACTGCTTTTCTTAAGGTGATAAGGACTGATACTGTTGACGAGGCATGGGGAGATGATGCGATGAAATTAGAACAGGAAAGAGATGCAGATATCAAACCAATACTGGAGTGGCTACGAAGTGGTAACAAGCCAAGTTGGAGTGACGTCGCCCAATATAGCGCGGTAACGAAAGGTTTATGGGCACAGTGGAAAAGCCTCACGCTGCATAACGGACTTCTGTGCAGGAAATGGGAATCAACAAACGGCAAGGACGAGCATTTGCAATTGGTGGTGCCTCGTTCAAAAATAAGGGATGTATTAAAAGCGTTCCATGATGGATCTTCTGGAGGACATTTGGGAATTAGGAGGACTTTGGTGAAGATCAAGGAGAGGTTTTATTGGTTGCATTGCAAATATGACGTCGAAGATTGGTGCCGGAAATGCACTAGTTGTGCAGCTGTCAAGGGTCCACAAACAAGAAGCAGAGGGGCGATGAAAATCTACAATGTTGGTATGCCTTGGGAGAGAATAGCCTTAGACATCGCTGGACCATTTCCAATCACTGATTCGGGCAATCGCTACGTTTTAGTGGTTATGGATTATTTTACAAAATGGCCGGAGGTCTTTGCCATACCGAATCAAGAGGCAGTAACTGTAGCCACGAAGTTGGTAAACGAGGTATTCACCCGATTCGGAGTGCCCTTGGAGATGCACAGTGATCAAGGACGGAACTTTGAATCCCAAGTTTTCCAGGAAACTTGTAAACTTTTGGGAATCCATAAGACTCGAACGACCCCTTATCATCCACAGTCAGATGGAATGGTCGAACGCTTCAACCAAACATTGGAGCGACACTTAGCAAAGGTGGTTGACAGCCATCAGAGAGATTGGGACACTTACATACCTCTCTTCTTGCTTGCCTATCGGTCTGCTGTACATGAAAGTACCGCAAAGACGCCTGCATTTGCAAATTTTGGAAGGGAATTGAGATTACCGGCAGATCTTGTATCGGGCTGTCCACCTGGTGATTCTCGCACCGAGTTTAGCGATTACATAAGCGAGTTAAGGGCAAAAATGTTGGACATTTATGAGCAGATCAGGGAGGCCGGTCTTCAAGCTAGTGATCGCGCAAAGACGCGCTATGATCGACGAGCCAATTCTGTTGGGTTTGAAGAGGGGTCATTGGTCTGGCTTCATAATCCAGTCAGAAGGAAGGGAAAATCTCCAAAGCTGCAACCGAGTTGGGAAGGTCCTTACGAGATAGTCACGAAGATCAATGACATTACTTACAGAATTCGGAAGTCTTCAAGGAGCCCTTTGAAAGTTGTCCATATAGACAGGTTGGCGAGGTATTACGGCAGCAACGATGCTCGGGACGAGCGAATCTAAGAGGGGGGCAGTGTGACAGAAAACTCTTTGACATCATGACGTCAATGGATGGTTGTCAAACGTTGCCTAGAGATTGTAAATTTCGTCGTGAATTGTCAACACGAGTTGGTGTAATCGGTAAGGCGTGTGGATTACACCACAGAGACCCCGAGTTCGAGTCCCGCCGTAAACATGAAGTTTTTTAGTTGATGGAAGTTTTGTCGAACTTTCTGGAATATTTGAGTGAAAGTGATGAAAAATTAAGGAGCGAGAAGAAGAATAAATAAAAATGAATAACGAAATTATTGGAAGATTCTGGAGGCATGACGATCAAAAAGAATAACGAAATTGAATGTTCTAGAACCTGACCGGGGGTATATAAGCGGAACTGCGGCTCACCGCTGGCAGTTGAGTTCTAAGTCTAAAGCGATTCGGAAGAAAAGGAAGAAGTGAGAAAGAAGAAAAGTGAGTGAAATAGTGAAGTGCAGTGAAATAGTGAAGTGCAGTCAGTTAAGTGAGTTAAGTCAGCGTGAACGGCAAAGTTGTGTCAGTCGGCCGGACTCTGCTGGAGAGGAACGCCGATAACTTAACTCCGTGGACGCTGTAACTTAAGTGCAATAGAAAGTCTGAAAACCGGTATTAGTGTTTCATTTCATCCAATCCCGTAACCCAAGCCCGCATAGTCAGGAACGTGACGTCAGGCACGTAACAATATATTCCATATTCGTAGTACAGTTGATCGTAAAGATAACACCGATACGTGATCAGATACATGAACGGATACTGATAAGTAGTAAAATAAATACTCTGATACTTTTTGGAGAATGGTCACGCATGACCCATACAAAATATTGTCAATCTTTTCAATTAGTCACTTTTTGGGTAATGACTCATCGTAGTTGGTTGTAGTCATACATAGTTCTTTGAATAGTTTATAGTCATCTATGAACATAGTGATCAAGCAGTTAACTCTTCAAAATGTGAAATGTCTGAATAATATCTACCTGATTAATTTAAATATACTTAAACGAGGTGTGATAAGTTTATAGGCAACTTACCTATAAGTATGGCGAAACTAGAGCTTTATTTTACATCTTTGAAATATTTTTGTCAGACGGCGCAGTTTAAATCTGAGCAACATAAAAAAAGAATGGGTAATTATCCAACTCCATAGCTATATGTAACATAACTATAACAAACATAAATGGAGGCAGTGCCTTGTACGTGGTTCTCACAGATAAAAAATCCATGAACAAAATTTTTGTTTGCACACCTGTTGCTAGGCAACCGTTTGTTGTTATGGCTGAACACCAATATCAATGTCGATTGTAATACAAGAAAATGCCATTGTTTAGCAATAAATTCTCCCCCAAAACGATTCCGGTAAGAAAACAAGACACTAACGTACTAAAAAGTGAACTCGGCAGTGATTATGCATCGAAAGAATTATCTCTAGATGTAGGTCCATTGAAGTTAAAGTTGGGAGATTTTGAAATATCTTTTGAAGAAGGTCAATGGATTCCAGGTAATAAGATTTTAGCTTGACGCTGAATTTTACGAACCTATCAATATACTTTCTATGTGTATGGCACAAACAAACAGACGTATTTCTTGATAGTACTGAGATAGCAATTAATGTGGTTTTTAAAATATCTTTTACCTTTACAGCTTCAGGCAAAGCAGGTGCTGCTCACAAAGAAAATATTCGTCTCAAAAATGAGTTAGAAAGACTTGAAGAGGAAAATAACATGTTAAGATTGAAGTTTGAAATATTATTGGACATGATGACTGACAAAACTGTCGAGGCTGAACAACAAGCCGAAATGCAGAGAGCACAGAGTTTGGGAAATTTGAAACAGAAAAGTAATAAAAAGAAATGGTCTTGAATATTATGTAGATGTAAGTTTTTAATTTGTGTAAATAAAATAATATTAAATATTCGCTGATATTATATTTATTTGATATGGATTTTTAGTTTAATCATTGTTCGGTAAAACAGGGTGAATAGATACTAGGAAAATTCGCCAACACCTATTCACCCAGTTTTACGGTACCGCCAAAAAAATTTGACGTAGATGTCGTGGTTACTACTGCGGTCATTGAAAAGAGAGTTATATTGAAAATATTTTTATTTACTTAAATAGTAATACTTTACATCAATATACATAATATACAAAGAGACATACACTACAGGTTGCTGAGCTGGTACCTATTACTAACAGAAACAGAGATTTTATAAAAGCGCTATAAATTCATATCACAAACATTATTTACATTTGTTATACAAACGCGGAAACTATGAGGTTACATAGATCAAGACCTGGACGAACATACGTGTTTATATCAACTTTGCATAAACACCAGCTTAGCTCTTGTAATACAGTTGAAAATGTATTGGATATCTCGTATTTGACAGCTTGGATGTCATTTTTTTTCCTTCATTCCGCATTGGGGCAACGTCCCCGAGTGTGTCCCGGCTGGCGACAGAGACTGCAAAGCCTAGGCCCACCACGCCCCGCCCCGCTCCCCCTATTTGAAGCTCCGCGAGCCGTCCCCCCTCCCCCTCGGCCACGCCCTCTGCCACGATTACTGCTACTACTACTGCCTACGCCCCAATCTGAAAATAAAAATCGAAGCAACTTTGCAAAGATTTGTCTTGATAAATGCACATTGAAATTAAATGTAATACTGGTTTTTTGCTAGTTATAGGTATTATGAATGTTATAAAACAGGATACGAAAACTTATTGTCACACAAATTATCCAAATCGTATGATTTCAGGCATTGTTTTTTTTTTCTAGGGCGGAAGCTAATAACTAAAACCACCCCATTCCTTCTTCTGCCTCATACTGAGACCGCGGTACCCAATTGAGCTTGCCCCGCAACCTCCGTGGAATATCGATCATACGGTGATCTAACAGCTCAATGAGGGCGCCTCATTGAGGTATTAGATGACCACATGAATGAACCCACGTCGCTCGTCTGGTTTTCATCGGGCAGCCGTAACCTTGTTCACCGTCAGCTTACGGAGACATTTCAGGCATTGTTCTATTACAAGTTAAAAAGCAGAAAACCCAAATAAACCTAAAGCAATTATATTTATTGCCGCCCAATTAACAAGGCCGGCTGGATAAAGATCCTCCTTATCACAACCCAAGAACTAAAATAAACCATTATTGAATTAATTACCTGGTACAGTTTCGCTGTCAGCCCATTGAAAGAATTTACATCTAGTAGCTATCTCCTTCACACAAACGTGGAAAGGACGCCCTTTATTTGGTCCTTCCTTTTGTGCTATCAGTCTGAAATTGAAATTATTATTTTAGACTAGAGGGTATATCTACATAAAATGATGTTCAAACTCATGTCTGATTTATAATTTTCAGATAAAAAGATAAAATTCTCTGTATAAAATATGACCAAACAGAATGACTTGCTCTTAAAGTTGAGCTTACCGTTTACATGGGATTCCGCAGTCACACATAACATCGTCATTATTCCCGCCACTGCTCCGTGGATTACTCGGTGTAATGCCCCAGCCTCTAGTCGTACTACTGGTATCATTACTTTCCCAAGTACTAGTGGGCGGCGTGTCGTATGGGTTTTGTACTGAGCTGTCGTTTTCTGGTGCCCAAAGGAAAAAGTCACAACCGCCATTATCTTTTCCTGCTTGACATTTGTAGAACTGTTTGCCTGAAATATTTTATAGTAACTAAATTTCCTAAATATACAACCTTGTTTTGATTTGTTGTATCCTATATATTTTTTCCTTACCATACTAGACATAATTAAATTAGGTAGTGTCAAACCATTGGTTTCTCAAATATTGGCAACTAAAGTGATTGGATATTCAAATTTTAACTGCTATAGTAATTGGTAATACCTTATGTGAACTTACCATGGTTCGCGTTCTGTTTCCGTACAGTCAACAGAATGGCCGGTTGGTTACAACCACAGAGTATATTATTATCACCATCACTACTTCTTGGTGTCGGCATTCTCGGCTGATTGTTCATTGTATTTTGATTTCTATTTACAGTGGGTGGAGGTAAAAATTGTCTCGGCTGTGCCGTGGTAGTTGTGTTACTTCTGGGGTTTGCTCGCACCTGTGCCACAGGGATTGTGTTGGCACTATTATTATTTGTTCTACTATTCACAGACTGTGGTCTATTACTATTTATTACATTCTGTGGTTGTGCTGCTACTTGATTTCTAGTCTCCGATACAGGTCTCACACTTGAGGGGTTTATTCGAAGCATTTCTAAAAACGTCATGTCGCAGCCGCCAATACATCCAGTGTAAGGGGGCGGGTACAAATGACTGATCTGATTGTTTCTCCATTCAAATTTCAACATTTTATAGTTTGGTCCACACTGAAAAGATGACACTTATGTAGTTTGAAAACAGAGATGTATAGTAAAAAATTGGAATGCAGTGCCCGACGAATAATGTAGTACATCGATCTTAGGAAAGATTGAAGTTTTGTGCAAAGAATATATAATATCGCGGAAAGAAATCATATTCCAAATATCGATGTGCAATATTTATCGCTGGGTACTGTACCTTATTTTAAGTAAGTGTTATAGGTACTTACAGTTGGACAAGTATTAGGTAGAACTTGAATAGTTTTGACTAGACTCGGCAACCACACTGCGTTTTTACAATTCGGGTATGACATACAACTAATGTATAATTCGTCTGCATTGTTCTTCTTCTGTCGGACAACCATGTCTGTCTTACATTTGGGACATTTAAGGGCTGTAAATATTTATTTTTAGATTAGATAAAATAATGCTGAACTTGTCAAGTGGTCACAAGTCTGTTTCGTATTCGATTCAACCATAATTCAGTTGCAGTGGTTAGGCAACCAATTGCTCTAACATGTCTTTCGGGTTTAATATTCACAAGGAACAATTTAAAGAATTGGTCCATATTATTTTGTTTCAGACCTGATTGTGATACATGTATACGTGATACCTCTTGAGTTTGTTTACGTGTAAAAGTGCCGTTTTATGGCCTATTTGCAAAAGTTACATTGTTTGTTTATGTAATATATCATGTGAATTTTAATATTAGTTATTGCAACAAAATTGTCAAAATTGTATACAGTATTGTGTACTGTGGTTTTACCTGAAGGCATATTGACGGGTAGAGACTCAGTTGACGGAACATATTCATTAGGTTGTTCACGAAACCTTTCAGCCAGCGCTGCATCGATTTTATTCGCTTCCTGCGCCACCGTTTGATACACTTCTTTATACTTTGCTATCTGCAGAGGTAAGTTTTTTTGATTTAAATCGTATTTATTATTGACTGCACGGTTGGTGCGGTGGCTGGGCAACTGGCTGCCGTGCAACGTGTCGCGGGTTCGATTCCCGCACGGAACAACTCTTTGTGTGATCTACAAATTGTTGTTTCGGGTCTGGGTGTCATATGTTTGTAAATGCACCCACAACACAGGAGAAAACCTTTGAGTGGGTCAAAGTTTAAAAAAAAAATACAATAAAATCTGAAATCGATTGAAAAACATCTAACTTAAATAATAAAAATGTACTTCAATTTTACCTGTTCAGCTAAAACTTGCTGAGGTTGTTTTCGACCTTCGCTGATGGCTTTAAGGTCGGCTTCTAGTTGTGCACGTAAGTGAGGCTTAGATATTGTAAGGCCCATGGCATCGTAGCCCTCGACCAGTCCCATGCCTAACAAGCCAGGTACGAAGTGAATAGCGTCCGCTAACGCGACATATGACCTGTTTTTTATAGTCTCTATGTGTTCCGCGTGCGTCGCGTCCGTTCCTGGAAAACAAGTAGCCGTGTTTAGTCTTTTTGACATTTATAAAGTTTTTTTTTTAAATAAAAAAACGTTGCCCCACACTATGATTTTCTCCTGTGTCGTGGGTGCGTTTACAAATATAGAATTTCACATGCACATCACAAACCCGGAACAACAGTCTGTGGATCACTCAAAGAGTTGTTCCGTGCGGGAATCGAACTCGCGACACGTTGCGCGGCAGCCAGTTCCCAGCCACCGCGCCAACTGTGCAGTTATATCATGTCACGTTTATAACGTGTTTAGATTATACGTTAGATACATAAGAGAAAAAAATGCTAAAATCATAAATCATAATCTCCTTAGAATATTTAATACGATTTTATTACTTGTATCTGTAAAAAATACAAAAAGACACAGTCCTAGATCAAATCGAGTTCTGTGTCATTCGCTCGTAAGATTTCTTCTTACATACAGAGTAGGTAAATGCAACTTACCAATTCCGTGTTTCTCCATAAGTGCAATGAGATCCGCTTCAGTTAAGAGATTAGGCGGCGAAGTATTACCATCCAGAATATCTATGCTAGTTGGATTAAAAGTTTGTCCATTCTAAAACAAAGTAAATCAATTGAATTTCCCTTATTTCACATAGATTAATCGCAAAAATAGACTTTAGTACTAACTTCGTAAACATGAATTTCCTTCGACGACCATTTATCATAGGGGTAGACTTCTAAATAATTTCTTGCTGTGATCATTAAACCACTTGCATGGAACTTTTCGTTAGCTATGTCGATGGAGACAGTGGTTTCTTGGCCCTGAGCGTCTTTGGAGCAACATGCGAGAAAAGATCGCACTATGAACTCATATAGCCGCTGTTCATTGCCCGTTAAACCTATGGAAACAGTCTCATGTTATTTATAAACTAGTGAGTGTGACAATTTTCCATTTATTCATTATTATCGCTATCCAGAAACCGGACCGTATGACGATTGCTGGATTGCTATTCATAATCCTATCAGTCAAAGGTAAGCTTGCAGTTGGCTCATGGAAAATTAAAAATTGGTAAACGACAAAAGAAGTGTTCTTGGGTTACCAAACATCTTCGAGTTAATGGCAATGGCATTGATGTACGTATTATGCAATGTTCTGATGGACCACGGAAGGACTTGCGTGTTAAATTAATTTAAGAAAATTATATTAAGTACCTACTACATTAAAAAATATAACTTACTGTTTGTATATTTTGTGGGATGAATGGGCGGATGGGCTTTATCACTCTTATTGCCTTGTCGCGGTGTTGGACCCCCGCTATCCAAAATATTCTGCGCAAACGACCCCCAGTTGGGGTCACCGGTCTGATGGCCCACTAGCTGTGCCAAGTTCATCTCTTTGGGAAACTCATTTGTTTCCGTACGCGGGTAACTGATGAAACCTCCCGTGTACAATTTTTCAGCTAATCTCATTGTCTCTTTTGCATTGATCTTCAATTTTCTCGATGCAAGTTTTTCTAGTTCCTGGTTAAATTAAACTGTGCCATAATATGTAAAAACTCAAGCTGATAGTTTTTTATTTGATATAGTATAGTAGCTATATTTTTATTAATAGTGTAAAAAATTTAAAGTATCTTTAATTTTGATTTTTAGTCAAACATTTTCGTATCGTATCGTAAGGGTTGGCCTGTATAATTAAATTCTGATCAATTTGAAGAAGTACTTACATATGTGTTATACAATATCTGTCACTAATTAAAGTATTTTCAGGGTCAATAAAATTTAAGAGATTGCAATCTCTTAAATTATATGTTAAATGCAGATTTGAGCTATCTTGATAGAATATTACAATAATAACATTAGAATATGAAACAACCACAGCGTTGTGTTTCGCTGTGTGAGTGAGGTTACCGGAGGCCCAATCCTTCCCTTTCCCGGACCCTTCCCCAATCCCTAAATCTTTAAATCCCTAATCCCTAAAAAGTCGGCAACGCTCTCGTAACTCCTCCGTTGCGGGTGTCCATGGGCGGCGCTGATTGCTTACCATCAGGTAATCCGTCTGCTCGTTTGCTGACTTATTACATAAAATATATATATATATATATAAGATGAGGTTACAAATGTAGTACAAGAACATAAATTAATACAATTACAACTTACCACTGTGTCTAAAGGTAGAGGTCTCCACTTGGACTTAGGTTTAGTCTTCACTTCACACACCTTTGCCAGGGGATTCTCAATACAAATGTCATGGAACAATTGACATGCACTTTGATCAAACAATCTCACTCTTTCCCATGCAAAATCTACACTCAGGTTGTTCATTGTGTGGTTTACTGGAATTTAAAAAAAGGGACATAGGTAATTCATTGCATTACTTACACCCGGTTTCTTGAAGGCTTGTCAACGCTAAAATTAACTTATCTCCTGTTAATCTCTTGTCACGTCATCTGATTGGTTGTTGATAATCAGTTAACCAATCAGATGACTTGACAAGAGATTAAACTGATTTTAACATTAATCGGCCTTTCGGAAACCGGGTGTAAGTGACTGAACTGACTGAATATTATTTGTTAGCCACTTCACTTGTTGATGCCAGTTTTATCACATCCTAAAGGTCTTTTCCATTTATTTTTCTTTCTTTTAATTTTTGATGTGACTGCAGTAACAAACTTCCAATTTTATATTATTGATATATAAAAAAAATTCGCAAAATGTGTTGGTATCCATATAAATATAAATATCTTATACAATTATTTAAAAAAAAGTATAGCACTAAAATTGTTAACTTTGACCATTTTGTTGTCAGTGAGGTAATCAGATACTGGCAAGAAAAAGGGCTACTAGTTATTAATAAACAACAGTTAATACAAAAGTATAAATACAACTCACCTCTCAACTTCCAAAATGGTTCTGATACAAAATTTTCAACAGCCCTATATCTCTCCACAACAAATCCTAGTGTTGGGAATTGACAGGAGCCATAACTAACTAGACTTTCAGCTAACTTTCTAGGGAAAACTTTTTGCAACCTTAATGTCTGGAATCTTGTGAATGCTGCACCTGAAAGGGTGATTTAGAATTTTGTATTAATTTCTAAATTATAGAAAATGAAATAACATTTAATTTGATAAAATAGTGTATGTTGAGGTGGGACTGTTTAAATAGAAGAAAAGTTTTTATCCATATCAGCTTCAGGTGGAACAAAAAACATTTACCTATTCTTAAATCAAGTTCTTGTCTTACATCAACAGCATCACTTATGTTCTTATTAGGTTGTTCTAAATTTTGTAAAGCTCTCCAAACAGAGACTCCTGTTATTTCAGAGAATTTTGCCCGGAATATTCTAAGATTACTCTTCACTGCTGTGCAAACTTCTATTATTTCGAAACCTATATTCTCCCCTTCTCTGTCACAATCTGTCCAGATAATTAGTCCTGTGCAGCTTCTTACTTCCCTTTCCAAAGTTTTCTGGAAATATATGAATGTTAAGTGATAAATCTGTTAATACTAAATCTCTTATGATCCTTCCAATAATCACTGTCATAATACAGTTTATGGAGTTGAAAACATTTTTATATTAATATATTTATTGCTTTTGGCACAATTGTTGCACAATGGCGGACTCAATGCCGAAGGTATTTTCTACCAGTCTACCTTAGGGTAATATAGAAACAGGTAACGGTAGGTGCAACAGCTATAATAGCAAGAGGTAACTGAATCAATATTTACCTTAATTTTTTCATAGTTCTCAGGGCAGTATTTGAAGACAGGTGCGTCAAATAACGTTAGGGGGTTGCAGGACTGCCAGTGTTTGTATGCACCAACAAACTCAAGCCCTAGCAAATGTCCAGACACTGATGTCATAACCATTTGACATTTTTGGCCCATTACTTCAGCCTCAAATTCATAGATTTTATTGTATTGTGACAATCCCTCTCTCTGAAAACAAGGGGTCCATTATTTTACCCATAGAAGTTTAAATGAATGGAAGAACAATAACAGACAAATCTTAAGTTTAACATGCACAGAACTTACTCTCCTAGAAGTGCCTCGTGATAAATGTTGAGCAATATTCTTAGCTGCATCGTTTTTCTCAGCCACATTTAAAAACTTCATTGTTTCAATGGTACTCTGACTCAATGTTCTAATAAAGTTAATATAAATACGCTTGAGGTTATGTTTTGATCGACGTAAATAAATCATATTTTAAAAAATTTACATCGTATCGCTACTTGTTTAATATCTTCCATACATTTCCATTGATAAATATACCCATAACAGAAAACATTTAACTCACTTTTTATCTACACTATGTTGAAGGTAAATAAACAATACCTAACTCCCGCCGAAAATTTTGCCATGGAAATGAAATTTGTGTTATTTTTTTTTATAATTTTCTTCATGACTGTTCATAGATACGAGTATTTTAATCAAATCAAATATAGCTATGTTGTTCGACATAAAGTTGTCCATTCATCATCCAGCGAATTTTGTGTGTCAAAGTAGCTAAATAGTCTAAGGTTGGTTTTGTTTTTTGACGTTTGGGCTGCTTGGGCTGTCACCATTACCACTACTATCTGCCAACATCAGCTGTGAGCGAAAGAAACGAGTGTCATTATTGTAACTGTCATTTCTTATTTTCCCTAGGATGTGCGTGACATGATTGTTATAAATTCATTACTTACACCACAGCTTACACAATTAACGTAAAATGACAAGTTTATAAATAGTTTATCTCTCTTTGTGGTCAGAAACCTATATAATAAGTTAGGGACAATGGTGCTGTCGCGCTCATTTGCGCCGAAGCCCTTAACCTATACAAAGATGTGTTTTCTCGTAAACTGCCTCAAAAGATTTAAGAGTTCTCAACAATGGTTAAGTCGTCAAAAAGCTGATCCTTATGTAGAAAAGGCAAAAATCTATAACTACAGGTGTTTTTTATTTACCACAATAACCATAACACATATTTAATTTGACTTCATAACGCAATGACGATTTTTATTTTGTTTTGTAGATGTCGCAGTGCTTTCAAATTGTTAGAAATGAACGATAAAACAAACATACTTACTCCGGGCCTGACAGTTATTGACCTTGGTGCGTCGCCAGGGTCATGGACACAAGTGGCAGTTCAGAAAACGAACTCAGATGGTGCTGACCCAACCCAACCAAAGGGCAGAGTTCTTGCCATTGACAAGCTGCAAATATTTCCCATAGAGGTATTTATTACAATTTATTTTCGACTTAAGCCATTATTTTACTTGCCAAGAATGAGACTGCAATTTTTGGAGGTAAAATAACATCATCAAGATATCTGATAAATATAACTCATGATCCCAGCTTCTGTTGTAATGCAATATGTTTTCTTTCAACAGGGAGCATCTATTATGAGCAACATGGATTTTTCCACAATAGATGCTCATGATAAAGTAATAGCAGCACTAGATGGTACAAAAGTAGATGTAGTTCTATCTGACATGGCTCCCAGTGCTACTGGGGTAAAGGAACTGGATAAAGACAGAATAATAGGCCTTTGCTACATGGCTATAAGGTTTGCAGCTCTAGTCAGTAAAGTGGATGGTAACCTGCTATTCAAAGTTTGGGATGGGAAGGAAGTCCCCATATTAGAGATGGATTTACAGAGATTCTATAAAAGTATTAAGATTATGAAGCCAATGGCTAGTCGATCAGAATCCTCAGAAAAGTTCATATTAGCTCGAGGTTTCAGAGGCATTCAGAGACCATTGAAGAATGGTAGATGGGGAGAGTAACTCATGTTCATGTTAAGTACATCAACTGGGCTACTGCATAATACTCTGAATAGTTTGATGTGAGCTTCGGGAACAGAATGACTTTGCATAGAAAGTGCAGAAGATAATTAAATGTTGTCAATACATCATAACAATCTGGTGTAGATGTTATAAGTACTAAGTCTTCCAAGTCATGTTTAAGTATAAAACTTATCAACTTATAGTGCAGTTATTAGCATCATTTAGATAAATATTTGTTTTATATAAAATATTTGCATAACTTAAATGAGGCAATATGATATTTGTATGCTAGTTTTAGTTACATGGTTACCATAATTATAAAAGAAAAAAAAACACTTAAAATATTAATGTTTTGTTTATTTTTTATATAGTAGCACATTTCCTGAAGCATCTTAGTAGAATAATGCTTAAAATATCTATCATTCATTAAAATTCACATGTTTTTCAAAACCAAGTCATATTAATTTATTATTTTCAATATATTTAAAACAACATGCTCAGTTATAATCTCTGATTATTTTCTTAACAATAATAATTTTTCACTTTTATAAAATAATATCACATTGAGTAATTTTTGGTAGAGTAACAATACCTAATCATTTGCTACTTATTTTAAGAATTTCGGACGTTAACTGGCCATTAAGCAATCTAGAAATCTATTTCTTTTTTAAATTACAATACATGTTTTTTGTTAATTACATACAAAGAATTATTTTAAGTCAAGCAAACACCGTCAAACCATTTTTTGTCTCAACACATCACATTGATTTGTGCTCAAACCTGACTAACAAATCACATTTCAAATTATTAACAATTTATAATTAGAACAGGTTCTTTTCTAAAAAAATAAATTTTAAAATCCATAAAAAAAATTAAAAACAAGGAACCACCCTTTAAAATCGGAAAACTATATTGATTACTAATTGACAATTTGACAAATTGCCTTTTTCTCAAAGGATAGGTTGTAACTCGTAACTCATTCTTTTCTCCATGTTAATCATGTCTCATAGGTACTTCATTTGAGTAATAATTAACTAATTTCCTAGCGGATTCGATTGTAAAGGTGTAGCATACATTTTGAAGGAGGTTTAGAAACTATGTTCTAGCACGCAGCACAATTTGGTGCATATGTGTAGGGTGGGGTATATAATACGATGAATGATTAACTTTCTGCCTTCTGAAGTCTTAAAAAGCTTTACAAACTACTGTAGTAATTAACACCTATTATCGAGTTAACAGTTTACGTGTCGTTACGTTCTAACTTTGCGAATAGCAGAGTGCGTGACTATTAGCTAAGTATTAAGTATGTAGCAGCCATATGGATTATAAGGTAAATAGTGGAGACTTCTAGACGAAATGTGTTCGAGTTCCACTATTTAGTTTGTTGAGTTGTGCAGCGGATAACAAGCTGGAGTGTGCAGCATGGTCCAGAAGGAGTAGGCGCTCGCCTCTCTCGTCGCTGGCAGCTCGAACATTACGACCACATCGACCACTACCGGTCTCTAAGGCGAAACTGCTCACAGCACATATAGCGTAGATAAAAGTTAACACGAATAGTGCACAGCCAAAATCTGAAACAAAAACAATCCATTCATTAGCCCGCCAGTGAGCTGGTAGGTATTAGTTTGTTTATGGTATTTTCCGTCACAGTAGCTTTAATCTTTGTATTATAACTGAGTCAACTCTTAGCTAAGGAGCTTAGACAAATTATTTGAGATATCATACTAAAAAACAAAATAGTTTAACTTTAGATTAAATTCTATAATGATGCAACCATTTCAAACATCAGTTGGAACTCTTGTGATTTTCTTCAATTCTGGCAGTTTCATAAGGTAGGTAACACTGATCAATTGATAACATGTACCTAATAATACCTATACCACAGAACAATGATGTAGCTAGGGTGCCGTAAAATTCTAGGAAACAACTTACCCAAAGGTGGGTAGGTTGACTATATTGGCCAGAATGCTATAAGTAGATAGTTTTGTTATATAAAAAGTACCTTAGTAACATGATCAAGGATCATACTTACGATAGAGATTATGCCCTCCAAATAGATTAACAACACACGGGTAACCATCCCCAACGATTATGGCCACAATGAGCAGGACTACTCCGATGCATGCGGCCATGATCCAAGGTAGTACATATTCGCGTTTGTACTTGACTGCGCCGTGAAGCAACGAGATACAACACATCAGGTAAATCGATGTCAGCATCGTGCTTGTATAAAGGAATATCACGGTCACTGAAATGTTACATTTTTTATTAATGGAAGGCGGTTGTTGACTCTTTGTTAATGATAGCGAGTTAGTTAGAAACAGTGTGTAGGTAAGTCTTACTGGTTTAAATGTAAGTATTTACGTTTCAATTACGGATTTTCACCAGCTCAACATGTACCTATGACCTCCTACTTCTTATTAATAAACAATTGATTCACAATTCATTACTTAGGTACGTAAAAGTTATAGGTAGTTCACTCTACCAATAAATAAACAATATGAAAATGAAATAACCTGATGCCAGATGTCGTGCTTTTGCAAATCTACGCTGATTATTTGTAGTTATAACTTCTCCGTTGTGGTAACTAATATGATCGCCGTAAGCCATTTCATATAATCCGCGCCTGTCGGCATCATCTTCCATGTCGTTGTGCAACATCGACAACATTTCCCCGACATGGGATATACCAACTAGTAATATTATTAATATGAAAGATGATAATGCCTGCAAAAAACAAAGGAATTCTTAATACATATATTTTCAAGTTACGTTTAAGTTATGTATGTATAATAATACCACTATAAAGAAAACCATCGTCATACTCACGATTTGATGGACGGCAATTAGAATTGTGCCCTGTCGTAAATTGAAAACGTACAAAAAATTATTTAGGCGAATCATCATTTTGTGTGAGAGATTACATTGCTTAGTTCTATCAAACATTTGTATTATTTTATCACTAAACCATTGCCAGTAAGAATTACAAACATTGTTTGGACAATGCCCAAGTCAGAAACTACATAGCGATTGGCGAGAGGCGCGCATGTTGTATTCTATTGATTTATTTTTTGTGCCTCGTGCGTAATGCGCATGTGTTTATCGTAATAAAAACATGAGAAACAAGGATGAAAAGGGGTTGTTTAAAGAAGACAAAGTATTTTTTTATAAATTAGTTTTATTTCAAGACTTACGTAATGAATAATAATAGCAATAATAAAATTATGACTGTAATCAACCTAAACCAAACTTTTAGTCGGTATTAGTTTATTTGGATTGTTATATTATCCACTATAGCTATCACAAGTAGACAAATCATAAAGTAACTCATTATAGAAACAAATATGTATATTTACAAAAGAATAATCACGTCACTTCATTTTCATAATTCTAAAAATATATTTGTATTTTGATAGTTATGATTACTGTATGGTACACTTTAGAAACAATTTGATAAAGATGAATTTTAAAAACATGCAACTAAAAATAAAACAAACAACATTAAAAACAATGATTGAAATCTTAATTTCTATGATTTCGATTGCAATACTGACGAAATGTATAGTATTAAAGGTAACTTGTCAAAACGAAACTTTAGAAGAAAGTAAAAAAAGTATCAACAAAATGATGTTGATTTTTTTACAAGGATTGAATTATTTCTAAGGACGGATTGGACTAAACAAGTACTGATTGAAACTGTTTTCGTTGTTGACGTGCTGTGGGGACGTGACGGAAACAAAATTAAATGCAAAGTAAGCTAGCTATAAACATACACAACCATCTACTATTCATATATCGGTATCATAATTGAAATGTAGCAATTACGTTGACTAATATCCTAAATAATAAGTTACAGTAAATAATATAATATTTATATCTGAAAATAGCCAATATATTTACGATATAATTTAGAATGAACATTTGGTATGCAGTGAACTTTTGTAGTTGATACAAATATAGCCAAATATTTACACGTTATGAGACCTTAAGAAGTATAATACCTTACAAATAATGGACAATAAGATACTTGTACAATTCGAAAGTTATATTATCCAAGACTGATTTTTAATTACATAAATTGAAATAGAAAAACTGTACTTATGTAACATGCTTCAAGAAACTATACTGTTGTCACTTTAACTTGGATATAATAGCATGTCTTTAAATATTACGTGACCATCCACAATCTAACAAAGAGGTTAGTGTTGACACATTCACAGACATATGAATATGAAGGTGCCGAATGTGTTGATGGCACTCGTGTTGTATACTTCTTATTTAATTATATCACCACAGTATAACAATAGTCATATTATATCACTAGGCACTAATAATGTTAGTCGATATAAAGTTAATATAGGTATTACACAATGGACAAACATAGGGCTAGGATGCCACGTCAAAATATTCACATATTACAATTAAATAACGCAATATTCACATTATATTCTGTTAAGTAACAATATCTTAGCCTAGTTCTCTAAAATTAGTCACAAATCCGTTGTCAGTTACAGCCTGTATTTTGTGTTAGGATTACTCAGTGTTTGGACAATATATTGTTCGAAGTTTAAATTACAATGTGGTCAAACTTCGTGACAATTGTTAGGACAACTATGTTCTATCATCTCTATTTAAATCCTAAATGATTACCATTGGCAGTCAAAACAGATTATCATAAATGTGGCGTCGATTCCTAACATCTTCACGTCTCTTTTATCATGAGATTCGTAAGTAACTCATTGGCAGGATAACTTGCGACTGTATTATAAAGAAAGAAATAAGATGATAATAGTCTAATGTTTATATTACAAGAAAGATTAGCAATTAGAGACCACTAAAAAAACTAGCTGGTCGGAAATGTTTTGATTAAGTGATGTAACAAAATTATTTGATTGCTTGCCAATATGGATGAAGGGTTAGCCACATTTATAAAGTCATGCGTGACACTGCTGTTCAGGCAGTCGTAGGTCGGGCATCTCAGGCAATGTTGCAGGAGTTACGGCCGGTGCAGTTGAGTCGCGTGTGATGCGGGTGCTTATGTGCTCGCGCTCGATGCCGGCTGGGCGCGGCGGAGATCGCGTACGACTTGAGGTGGGACTTCAGCGCCGTCGGTAAAGGGAGCCTCTCCAGACCGTACACCGATGTACGCGCTACTATTGCACGGCAACATAGCTCTTGGAGGCTGAGTACTGCGACAAAATAAATAAATAGATTTAAGTATATTTCCAATTGGTGAATAATGTTATTATGAACATTAAATTTCTAATTCTTATAATACTTACTAATAAGATATAATTAAGTTTCTAAGTATATCCAATATATATGGATGGAATTTTCTTGATAATAAATTCTGATGTCCCATTATCAGATTGTGTCAAATTGACTACTTAACATTTCAAACTTAAATCTTTTTAAGAAAATAAGGAATTTTAAAAAATTAGTACCTTTATTACTTCTCCATAGTCTCTCCATGCCATTTCGATGTAGCGCCATCCGCGACAATTCGCAGAAACTCTCCCTGATGTTGAAGTCACACAAGGGGCTCACTTCGAAAAACGCCATGTGGTTCTTGGCAGCATACAGTTCCGCATCCCGTTCCTGTACTTGTCTTTTGAAGGCTAGGTGCAAACGATTTCCCACGAGGACTTTCGGAACTCCAGGTGCGTGCTGGAATAAGAAGCAGACATCTTGGTTATAAAAAATCTCAATTAGTTGACTGTGTTATACATAAATTTAACAGTAATTGGAGTTTGCTTCTAAATTTTAGAATGACATGAAGTGATGGAACTGCTTGCTGATGTACTTTCCAGTCACATTGGGACTTATAAACTTACTGCACTACTGGGTAGAGTGTTATAGTGTCTAGATATGATTTATTTTTTATTGTTAAAATATCTTGAGGCACGCTCCTACTTCGCGCGGATGCGCAACTACCTTAGTGTCAGTTTTCTATAATGTAAGCAAACCACTATAGCCCCGAAAGGGTTCTCACTTCCTGACAATACCCTCTACTTTTTTAAGATATTCTTTTATTAATACTTTCTCCTGATCTTAGCAATTGATCAAGCTGTAATGGGTGATGGCATGATAAGGAAATTGGAATTATTTTAGAAATAATAGGTTACAAACCTTTTCGACTTCTTCTAGCCACCTGTCGATGCTATCAAAAGACCATTTGTTTGTGATGTCATAAACAAGAAGAATGCCTTGTGCTCCGCGAGAGTAGGATCGTATTATGGTGCAGAATCGCCCTTGTCCTGAAGTATCCCATAGCTGAAGTTTTACTCTCTTTCCATCTAACAGGATTGTCGTCGTTTTGTAGGCTGGAATTCAATTAATTTAATGAGAACATTGCAACTAACATTCAGGGCAAAAGTTTATATCAAAGTGTATATATTAACCTATCCAGGTATCTGAAATTAAATATTGTGAAAGCTTTTTTTATTACACACTCAAAAGTTTTTAACCAATTTTTATGACTTAAAATACAAAAAGTAAGACTGTTCTTCATGAAGTTAAAGAATGCTTATATTAAAAATCCATAACATAAACAATTTGTAACAATACCAAATTGTTGTCATGGATGACAATCACATATTAAACATAAGATAGAAAATTTAACAGGTGTGAACCGTAGAATGGCCACATTACTTGACACATTGATATGTTATGAATAAGTTAAGGAAACTATTTAAATTTATTTGTATACTTTACATAATGTATGACATAATGAAAAAAAAATTATGATCTCAATCTTTTTACAAATGTAGAATTGCTAACATTTATAGGCTTTTTAGTTTATAGCGCTACCAACCACAGAAAATAATAAAAAATATTGTTTTATTAATCCTTGAACAAATATATGACATCCAAATAAACAATTTTGCAATTTTCCCCTCCAACTCAATCTGAGGAAAACAAGTTTAGGATAGGAACAACTAGATTTATCAAATTATGGTAGTTGCCAAGTAGTCAAATTTAAAACTTTTAATGAAATGTTTGATATTTCAATTAAAGTAGAAGTACAATACTTTCCTATAAACTTTGTATGAAATTGCAGCATACAATGTCATAATGTTTTTATGTCAAATATCATTTTTATTCTGAAAAATCAGCTAGAATAATTAAAAAAAGTACTGGTATTAACAAATTAGTTAATAAAAGAATGTAGTGTTTTAACACAGCTACAAATATTATTATTGAAATCGAAATTACTCATTCTGTATAACCATACATGTATAAAAATGTAACTAAGGGTGCACACTAGATAAGCATGAAGCAATTAAACTTAAGTGTGAATAATTGATAATAATTGTTTTTATAATACTATCAAGGTGATATATATAAATAAATGGATAACCTTACATCTCTTATAACTATGAATGAATATTACAGCTTACAATATCCAGCTTAATATTGTACAGACAGTTTAAAAGTCAATAATACTTATAGTCAGTTGTTCATAAGCCAAGAGCACTGAAATGGCTAAATTAATTTTGGTTAATAAATCACTAACATAATTTTAGTCTGGAATAAACATATAAGTTTCTTTCCACCCAAAATCTAGTTATACTTGAAAGAACTAATTTAAATTAACTTTGTGAGACATACTAAATTAATTATTATGTTTTCGGCTTACTCACATTATTGTTTAGACGAGATACTCAACTAGTTTCAAGCCATGCTAGAGGTCCATATTCTGCCTATGTACGAGTAGCAGCGCGACAGTCGCTGCGTCGCGTGTTGCCGAATGCAGCTCATGAATATGGCTCTAGCATGGCTTGAAACTAGTAGAGCATCTTCTCTAAACAATTATGTGTGTAAGCCAAAAATATATTAATTAACTAATTTAAACTTGAGTAACAGCTAGCAAGCTTGTTTTATAATATTCATAGTTCATGTCTTAATCAGTGTCAGTATGGCACAGAGCCATCATAATGTTATTCAATAGGGCATGTGACTTCATAACTAGATTAGCATCAAAACAATAGCATATTCTAATAAATAATGAATGGATAATAGTATTAGCTTACCACTGCCACTACAAAATGGTGAGTCAGCTGAGCCATCTTCAAGATCTTGAAGGATTTCTTGTTTACCTACATCTGAGTCACCAACCAGTAGTACTTTTAATAAGTAGTCATAGGATTTTGGAGCTGCAGGTGGTCGTCCTGGAAATTGTTACATTCTGCATTATTATCTAACCATTCTACAAGTATGTTAAATCTGTGACTTACACAGTGCCAAAAAACTTTTTTTGTAATAAACATGATAAAATCACACTGATATTTTTAATAGAACTGTTAGTATATGGGTTTAGGTTGAATTTGTAAGAAACATTTGCAAATGATCAAAAAACAATCTTGTGGCCAACAGCACTATGTCCCATTTTACTCAACTTTAGTCAACTTAAGTTTTTACTAAACTTTTTAGTGAATTCAATGTTTTACTATCCATTAATAAAGGTTTTACTCACATATAGGAAACTATGTGATAACACATTTATTGAATTCAATGAGCCCTATCTCATACTAATAAGTTAAATCATAGCATTTTACCAATTACTTAGAAAGTGACAGACACTTGGTCTAAATATTTATGCAATGTTTACCTGTCCTTTGATGATGTGACCGAGGTAATGTAGTACTTCCATTTTGTGTAATTGGACTAGTCCCTTGTTGTGGGGTCGCTACCATTCCAGACGAAGGATACATAGTCATGGTGAGTTCGTAATTACTCGCCTGATCTCCAGGTGGTCTATTACACACACAAGTTTATACATAATACTGCTGAATCTAACCCTTCTGGTAATCCATCAAGACCAACTTTCACAAAACACCCATAGTCATTAAAATTACGAACAATATCTGTTTATCAAAACAAGAATTAATCCACTTTTTCTTCAATCTGCCAAGTAAAATAACATACGTGCTTAAAAGCAAGGTCGCCGCATTATGGAGCTTAGAAGTAATGTTACTTATTTCTTTCGATTTATCTTCAGTCTAAAAGGTTTTAATATTATATTTTCACCTGTTATTTACTTTCTCAATTACGTTTAATTACGATATCGACACAAAAACAACCCAATTTTCACGAAATAAGAATGAATTTGAATGAATAAAATCAGAATTCGTTCATCCAAAGAACGAATGAATTGTAATAACCATAGACTACTTGGTGATTTATTAATTCTTGTTTTTTGTTGACTATTTAGTTTTTGAGTTAGTTTTTTTTATTTTTTTGTTTTCAAGAAAACTTTGCCCCACGCTAGGGTTTTGTCCTGTGTCGTGTGCGGTTATAAACATACAATTGGGACTTTGCCCAGCCACCGCACCAGCCGTGCAGTCAATTATTATATATATTTTTTTATGTAGTAGAGCGGCAAACGAGCTGACGGATTACCTGATGGTAATCAATTAGCGCCACCCATGGACACCCGCACCTGCAAGGAGGAGTTACGAGTGCATTGCCGACCTTTTAGGGATTAGGGATTTGGGAGAGGAAGGATTGGGCCTCCGGTAACCTCACTCACACGGCGAAACACAACGCTGTGGTGGTTTCACGCCGGTTTTCTGTGAGGCCGTGGTGTCACTCCGGTCGAGCCGACCCATTCGTGCCGAAGCATGGCTTTTGCCCGTGACTTTGTTCGCGTGGAATAGTGACTTCCTGCTAATTTTTGGTTTAAAAACTGTCCTATCCCTGTACCTTTCACAAAAATAGGTTCAGCAGTTTAGGGGTGAAGAAAAGACAGACAGACATACAGAGTTATTTTCGAATTTATAATATTAATTTGTATTAATATTCCTTTAATAAAAACGAAGATTGGTAATAAATTTAATTTAAAAAAATAATTGTTTTGTGTGGCTTATCGTTTGAGATTACCTCCTCTAAATTTGGAAAGAGAGTACAGAAAATGACACGACACGCTACGCAAATTCTTTATTAATTATATGTTTGAAATCGAGCGTTACGGCCTCACGGAAAACTGGTGTGAATACATGATTTTTATGGGAGAGGAAAATCATTTCAATCATCAAAGGAATTCTCTTGCCAAAGGTGGGGTGGGGCGAGAGTTTATGTCAGTCTTGAGTGTCTTACTGACTATAGATCACCCCGTTCCTTCTCCTGCTACAGGCCGAGGTCGCGTTACATTACTGCGCTTGCCCCGCAACTCCGACGTGAATCGATGCTTACGTTGTTTCGTCATGTGATTGAGGTTGAGGCCCAGACAGTCTCTTCCCTTCCCCAATCCTGTAAATCCCTGATAACACCCAAAAGGAAGGCAACGCATTTGTAACTTTTTTGATGTTACGGGTTTTTATGGGCACCGACGACTGCTTACCACCAAAGAGTATATAAACACTACGTACTATCAATATATTTTATGATCCGTCTACCTGTTTGCCGCCGAACAAAATAATGTGTAGGTACCTCTAGGTATTTTATCGGGTATAGGATGTTATGTAAGCTAGATGTATTTCAGGTAGGTTTTCGGAGCTTTGGATCCACCAATGCATTCATGACCACAAAATATCTTTATTTTTATAAAATTAAACTGTTACTTCATGACAACATTGTCATTTTGTTCTAGCAATACCCTTCTGCTGTGTTAGCCCGGGTAACATATTTTTTTGATGTTAAGCTCGACGTAAGATAATTGGCTTATGGGACAGGCTTTCGTTTTAGAAGACAGAGCTTTGTTTGGTATGATTTTTAAAATAAATAAAAAAATATTAACAAAGAAATGTTTGAAAATGGAACCTAACCAGGTATGATTATTTTTTTGTGAAATATTCACCAATTTCATAGAGATCGTTGGAGCCGTTTTCGCGATCTTGTGAGTTTATACACATTTATAAATATGAATATATATACGTAAACAAGAATTCCTCGCCTATAGGCGTTAGACAGATATTTAAGAATTTAAAAATAATTTATTTTACGATATTTCAAAGTCACACAAGATAATATCATGTTTGCATTTTGTATAACTACGATTTTTGACTTGCTTGATTTTAATGACAAACAAATAAAGGCACACATAAACTATAATGTCAACATTTATTAAACTTATAGGAAAGAGATTCTTAAATACTATTTTATGCTAGTTGATTTAAGGCACAAACAGGCATTTAATAAACAAACAATATGGATTGTTGAGTGAAACAAAAGCGAAATTTAAATGCATAAAATACAATACAAAATGTAGTTCAATAAATTAGTATGTTTCGAAACCAGGCAAGGGGAACGACCTGCTGTAATTTTCAATTTCTTCCTTCAGATTCTTGATTTTCGCTTTGAAGTCTGCACTTTCTTCAATAGTTTTGTTGAAGTCAGCAACTTTGGGGCCAGATACTTTAGTGATTTCTTGGGCAAGTTTTAGCGCTTTATCAATGTAGTCTACTACTCTATCGATGTTACCTTCCTTCATACCCCTTGTAGTAAGGGCTGGGGTGCCTAAAATTTAAATATTTTGTATGGAGATATCTGACTTATCAAAAACGAATAATATGAAAATGACTTTAGTTTTCACGTTTTTAATATCTTACCGAGCCTAATTCCGCTGGGATGGAGTGCGGATTTGTCACCAGGTACCGTGTTCTTGTTACAAGCTATGCTGCACAGTTCCAGGATTCGTTCGGCGGGAGCTCCTGTGAGTCCAGCGCTGCGCATGTCCACTAGGATCAAGTGGACTTCTGTACCGCCGGTCGCGATCTCATAACCACGGGCCATCAAACCTTTACAAAGTCGCTGAGCATTTTTCACCACCTGTAAAAAAAGGATAAAGTTATCTCATATTATTAATCAACGTAAACTTATCACAAAGTTTAGCATAAAAAAATAATGGTTGAAAAAGGAAATTCTTTTAGATTTCGTAAAGAGGATAAGAAAGGTATCAATACCTGTTTTTGGTATTCAACAAATTCGGAGGTGGTAGCTTGCTTCATTGCTGTGGCGATGGCAGCAATAGCGTGGTTGTGTGGTCCTCCCTGTAGTCCAGGGAATACTGATTGGTTGATCTTGCTTTCGAGGTCATACATGACCTTCTGGCCATTAGCTTTCACGGAGCGAACACCTTTTCGGTAGAAGATCACTCCAGCGCGGGGGCCACGCAATGTCTTGTGGGTGGTCGTTGTTACAATATCACAGTATTCGAACGGACTAGGAATGACACCTGAAAATACATAAGTGGTAATATTAAAAACAAAAGTGATAACCAGACCTATAGGACTAACTACTTTGTGACAAAATTTGAGAGATCTATAGGTATTTGCCAGTAAGGGTGTGATTGTTAGCCGAAGGGCGGCAAAATTATACGTCTGTTTTTGGTTTGAAGTATATCGGACGACTGACTGCGAACTGCAGGGAACTTAACTTTAACAGTATTTTAACGACGCGCTACATATGTTTCGTCACGAATGGACGGCTTCGACCGGAGTCCAGATACACAGCTATAAAGACAACCGGCATGAAACACCGCTTACTTTGTGTTTATATGAATGAAGGAAAAAAAGACAATGGGCGGCGTTGATTGTTCAGTTCAGGCGATCTATCAGACATTTTGCAACTTTATTTGGCAAAAAAAGTACAAGATTACCTGCAGCTACAAGTCCAGAGATATGTGCCATATCAGCCATCAAGTAGGCGCCATTTTCATCAGCAATCTGGCGGAATCGCTTGTAGTCTAGGCAGCGAGAGTAGCAACTAATACCAGCGATTATCAAACGAGGTTTGAACAGGCGTGCAGTTTCGGCCAGTTTGTCATAGTCTATAAAACCAGTCTTAGGGTCCACCTATAAAAACATAATTAACTGTTTAGATAACGGCTACTCACTTTAATTATCTATGAGTAAAATATTTATCCAAGTAAGTATAAATAATTTTATTTAATAAGGTCTATATTGTTTTCAAAGAGCAAGAATAATTGCATGCTAAAATAATAATTGTATGCTAAATTAAGTTCTTTTTATTTTCTCTATTGTCTTGAGCTAAATCGTTATAAATTATCTGTCCTCATATTCCAGGGTCATGTCGTTACGTTATTTTTATCGGTCGAACGCAAACATCAATTGAACTGCGCTGAGTTCATGGGTCAAAGTAGCTTCGTTATAATCAAGGGAAAATGTTTGTACAGATTACGTCAAGTGGGTGTCACCAACAACTGTTGCTTATATTTGCTTATCAGTGCAAATAACAACTATAACAAGAACCGTTTGCGACCATGATTTCATTGTATAGAAACTGAAAGTATTAATGATTGCGCAACTCAAGTCGACCCGCCGATATTGAGTTTTAATGTACTTATTGTATTAACTGAGCTATAAAATTGTATTGCAGTAACATTCTATGATTGCGATATTAGTATGTCAACTCATTTTGCGAAAGCACACCTTTTAAGAAATAGGTATGCTTTTAAGTTGAGATATTTTGACTTCACACTTATCTATATAGTAAAATGAGTTAGTTGAAAGTGGGTGTTATGTTATAATAAATAGTTCTGTGGCATGAAAAAGGGGTATAAGTTATTATTTTACCTTGTATGGCATGCTTTCGAAGAAAATTGATGTAGCGGATATTTTCTTGGTTGCTGTGAAGAATCCATGAGTAAGATGGCCACCATCAGGTAGGTCCAATCCCATAATCCTGCCATGAGGTTCAACTACACCGGTGTATACTGCAAAATTAGCAGGAGAACCTGGAAATTTCAAGAATTGTTAGTGTTAAGTCAAAGGAAATTTTCAGTCATGGTAATATGTAAAACTTGTTCTATAATTTTTAAATTAAGTTTTTAAAAAATACCTGAGTATGGCTGCACATTGACTCCCCATTCTTCTGCATTCAGCCTGTAAGCCTCAAGAGACCTCTTTTGTGCTAGGAGTTCAATTTCATCAATGTATTCATTGCCTCCATAATACCTGCAAATAAATATAAAAATATGAAATATATTATCATCACTACATAGTTTCAAACAAAGTCACATTATTTGTCCCTATATCCCTATGTATGTAAAATCTTTAGAACTATACAACAGTTTTCTTTATTAGATAATGATTGAAACGTGAGGTTTATAAGTATAGTAACATCCATTAAATAGGTAACGGATAACTTTAGGATGCACCGATTTTCGTGGCGGATTGCTAGTTATTAATAAATAGTTCTTGATTCATGAAACTAATTGATACTATATTTAGTTGATTTTAATGGTAAAAATTACACAGGTAACAAAAAAAAAACTTCAGTATGTATAAGCAGTTTTACCTTTGGTTGGGCATTCCCTCAGAATATTTGTTGTGAAGGCATGTGCTCAGACATTGCAGGACCGGTATAGATGTAAAGTTCTCAGAAGCAATCATCTCAAGTCCAGCTCTCTGACGCTCCTTCTCATTTTTGATGATGGCATAAAGCTCGGGATCAGTGTCCCACAAGTTACCATTTAGGATAGAGTTACTCATGATAGAAGTGGTATGTAGATTTCTTTTCAAAAAGGATTTCTGTAATATTATCACAGCTATTATAAAACACAGTTACTTTTACTAACTTAATTTATAATTAATTAAACAAATATTTATTTTTTAAAGACACTATCCTTACAAGTTATGAAAACAAACTGAACATTATCTAAATTGTATCTGTATTATAAAGGAGAAACACTGACCTCAAACTGATAACTAGATAATGTAATCAAAAACAAAAGTTGGTTGTGTTCTCCCGAGAGCTATTTATTGCATACAAGTGTTACAAATTCTCAAGTATATTACAAATTAAACTTAAAATAATAAAGAAACTTTAAAGCTGTGCAATGTACTCACGGAATGTAGTTTTTATCACAATAATTGTAAAATTATATAAAAATGTGATGGTCACACGACCAACTACATTGAACTGAAGTTAACCTAACAAACTTAAAACTTTTAAAGCATGTAACGTGCACTTTATTAACTGTGGCACATAGCAAAACAAATTAATAGCAATTTAAATACCTGAGAGTTTATTTTTCCATAAACTGTATGCACTGGACTCACAAAACGATATGAACAAAATCTGCTAAATTTTGGAGGTAAGGAATTTAAACACGTTTTAACTAGTATGTTGGACATAATAGTGTATTGAAAACCAACTATTCTCTCGATTCCACTTTTTAATATGTTGTTATTTGCGCAAACATAGGTTCACTTTTATCATTATTGATAACCCATTGTGAACTCTACCAACATGTATCTTGACGTTAGGACATTGGATTGACACTGACAGATAGGAACGTTCAATATATTCAATGATCTTATTCGAGCGTTCGCAAGTCCTAGACTGCGCACGATCTCACAGTGAAAGCGAACGAACAATATTTATCAAAATTATGTAAATATTTAATAATCAGAGTTACTCACATTTCATAACCATTACGACGTAACGATGATGGTTTATCAATGTACTGTAAGGGTGTTTAATGACTCTATTTAAAATTATTCCTGCCTACCCTCACAACTTAAATGAGTGAATTTTAGAAATGATTTTGTGACGGAATAGGTTTATACTATAAACGGTGATGTACTAAACGTTAACATTTTTATACTAATCTTCCGTATATCTTAGTAGATTTGCAGATATACATATATCTAGATTTTCATAAAAAGTAGGTATAAACCCAAGCAAATACGTGAAATTATGTAAATTTAGAATTTTGTTTACCTACATACTTATCTCTTAAGAATATTTTAAAATATTACACTTAATATTCTTTCTTTTCTTACAGAATCAACTACTTTCGACGATAGATAATCATTTTGAAATATACCTACCTTATATCGTCAGGTTTTTTTCATATTCTTACATAGGCTGCTGTATAAAATATGGTAGGTTCAATTCTTTCTGTCACTTACAAATTGTTCTTCCGGGCTTGGGTGTAAATTACTTATGTGTGAAATTGTAATGTCTGTAAACGCACCTACAATACAGGAGAATATATTAGTGAAGTGCGTTTAAAAACAGTCTTATGGACGGTCTAAACAGATTTTAAATTTTCGTACCGTATCATCATCCCACGCCCACCCGTACAAAGAGTGTGTCATTTGTTAGGTAAATACACATCATACATACTGGTAGGATTTATTTGCGTCATTAAATTCTGATAAGCAATAAATAATAAGTTGAAATCTAAACAAAAGGCTAAGTTTAGATACATATTGCGTTGCGGGAGGTACCTAATCAATCTATAGCTGATGTAATGAACAGGGTCGTTCGGTGTGGTTTACCGCGATAATTGGCTCTGTGATCTTCAACGGACTATGTCTAAATATTATTCAAGTGCGCTTCATGGAAACATAAAATGTCTAGATAATAAATGAGGTTGTGACAATACCTAACGTAAAGAGTAGATAAATTTATATTTAATAATTATAAATGGTTTATAAAATAATTTTTCGTCTGTACGCATGCTCGGTCAGAAATTTGGAAATTGTTTTCCAGTTCTTTTTTAAACAAAGTACCCAACATTTATTTTAATTTGTAGGTATTGTGCTATTCTGTCTAGTCCAGTTGTAATAATTATATAAGTTAATAATGTTAATGGTTAGCCTCGGTTCACAGCGCAACGATGCGACGGCTACGGCCCAGCTTAGAACAAAAGGAACAAGATGGTTTTTAGACAGTAAGAGTCTGACACTCTTTCTTGCCCACCCAGGAAGGGAATGGACTTTTGGTGATTTTAGCCCGTCAAAAAACCATATCTAATAATGATTTTGTCTCTTCGCGCGCCCTTTAGACGTCCTATGATGCAAAAATTATTCTCTATGAGGGGTTTTCTACTCTGTACATAGTCTAAAAAACTTTACTTAGCTTTATATTCATCATAGTATCATTTCGATCATAGGTTCAAAGCTACCTCGAAAGTAGTTGAAGGAAAGTAGTTGTAGTTGAAGTTGAAACTTTCAATGATAAATTTTAATATTACGTAATTAATTTATAACTCTTCCATCACCCCACGTGTTTAGGTAGTCTCTAAAATAATTCAAAGGAATACCTGCGTTACCTATATTGCTAGTCAGGTTATGTTTGGTTGGTCAATTAATCATCATCATCAGCCTATAAGTGCCCACTGCTGAGCAAAGGTCTCTTCTCTCACGGAGAAGGTTAGAGCATTTATCACTACGCTTGCTCAATGCGGGTTGGCGATTTCAACCTTATAATTAGAAATTATAAGTCCAGGTTTCCTCACGATGTTTACCTTCAACGTATGTCAGTGGTGTCTAAATAATCATAGAAAGTACCTACATTTAAATCTGGAAAAGTCACATTGGTACTTGCCAGGTTTCGAACCCACACCCTCATGAATGAGAAGCGGGCGCCTTAACTTCCGGGCCCCCACGACTTCAATGGTCAATTGCAAATATGAAATTATCAGTATTCCATAATAAAATCACATTATCCACACTATGCTGCACTTATGGGTCTGTACTCCTCTCAATAAGTGGATTTGGCGGGCCGGAGATGGTCTTAAAAGTCGATCTCAGTCTAAAAAGTCGATCACAGTCTAAAAAGTTGATCACAGTTTTGTTTATTCAGTTAAATGTGAAGTCCCTTAGAGCCCTGCTACTGTAGAAACCGACTCCTATAGGGGTAGGAATCAATCTCACATGTGAGGTGATGAGTAAATGTATTCTTTCTCTTTTCTAATCAGATTATTCAAATACTCACTCTCATAAATGGTTACTAAGTAGTTTACAGTGTGACTAAACTTGTTTGTTTACACTTTAATTAGGAATTTCACGCTATTTAAACATTAATAACGATAAGGGTAGGTACTTGTTTAGATTTGATGAATTTTAATGAGAAAAAATAAAAGAACTTAAATATATACCTAGGTCTAGTTTATTATAGCCATGTTAGACACTACTGTACCAATATAGGTTCCTTGATTTATTGGTATTTGTAGGAAGCAGTTTTGTATTATGTATGTATCCACGTTTCTTATTGTTGTTTTATTGCTCGGCTATTGTGCTATTTTGCAATAACAGTACTGACCTAGCTGTGTGCTTCGAAGGAAGTTTATCAAACATCGACAGCGAACGCAATTGTCAGCAGGGTGTAGCGCTGCGGACAGTTTTCCAATACAAACGTCAACACAACTGTGACACTGCGGCTGTCAGGCACAGAACACCGGCGTTATGGTTCATAATGATTAATTTGTATATGTCGACGTGGGCGTTGTTGGCAATTAATTACAAGTACGTACTTACTAAAGCTGTTTTGGAGCTGGTAATAGCCGAATGTACCACGTTTGAAAGTAACGTAGCTCTGACTTGATTGAGTAGGGTTCGTTGACAAAGGTGAGGAAGGTAAACAACTAATTTGAATGTTATCACTCCGTATTATACCTTCGTGTCGTCGCCTGATTGTTAAATAAGTCAAGTCATGATTTGCCCAGTTTATTGAACGTCATCATTTCGTGTCAATAGGTTGTTGCATTACCATTAAGTACGATATATTTTTCAGATAGGTATTATTTCTTGAAAAGTCACAGAGTTTATGGATTTCATGGTTGACGCAGTGGCTGTGCAACCAGCTGTAGCAAAGATGTTTTACAGCTACAAATGTTTATGTGATCAACATATTGTGAGGTGTATGTTGTACGTTTGTAAACATCATCATCATCATCATCATCATCATCATCATCATCCTATAAGTGCCCTCTGCTGAGCAAAGGCCTCTTCTCATACGGAGAAGGTTAGAGCATTAATCACCATGCTTGCTCAATGCGGGATTTCAAACTTATAATTAGAAATTATAAGTCCAGGTTTCCTCACGATGTTTGCCTTCACCACTTCACATTAAGACACCACCATGTCTGTGGTGTCTTAATAATCATAGAAAGTACATATGCATAACTCGGAAAAAGTCACTTTGGTACTTGCCAGGTTTCGAACCCACACCTTCATGAATGAGAAGCGCCTTAACTTCCGGGCCACCACGACATCGACAAACGTATTCTAGATAAAGGAGAAAATGTGAAGATACGTTTTATAGAATTTCATAATCATTCCAGGATATGAAATCATTATGGAAATCAGTTAATTCAAGGGAAAATCTTCCTATTCTGCCTGTAGAAGATTAGCTTTAGATTTATAATAAGAATTAGAAGTAGGTTCAAAGTAAAAATTTTATTTTACAAGATTGAAAATTTGTTGAAATTCATAGACATTTTTAAAGTTACATGTAGGTAATATGTTGTTATTGTTATTTGTGGAATATTCAAAAATGGAATCTTCAATTGATGTTCTGTTCTTTTCTTAAAGGTTAGACAAAAAAACTGTAAGTAGGTACTAGGTGTTTTATTATAAACATTATAAGCTACTTGTCTATTTTAATAATTCGACGTTGAACTCAGTAACATTAAAATTTTGTCATTAATTAATTCTTTTACATTCCGGGCCCATAAAAAGTCAACATGATTGAACTTATTGAAAGGTACGCGATACGATTCTATTACGTTGGGCAACATATTTTCTAATACTTTTACGTCTTCGACATTGCAAACCCAGTCGTTGCCACTGTAAAATAGAGCGATGGGCACGGTTACTCTCTCCACCAAATATCTTGGAGGTTCAGGAGATCCATAGATATCTAGATTTTTGCGAATATTGCCATAATCGAATTTTCTGAACGAAGCCGACATCATATTTTGCAAATAATGCACAAATTGATAAATAGAGGCCCCAGATGGTGAATGTTCAAATATCGCAGGTATGTTCACCTGGTTGAACTGTTCGTAGTCAAATCCACAAACAATGAATAAAATTGTGATACACACTAAGCCATTTCCTATTTTACAAAATGGCGTTTCTGAAAAGTAGGTACCTATAGGTCGCGGAAGGATTTCGTATATATGAAATACTTGAGTTAAAACGAGGTGGTAATTATTAAATGGAGCTGCCATCCTGACTAATGGGCTCTTTGCACGAGACATCCAGGCTATAGGTGACAAAGCGATCATTAACGAAATTTTCTTGTTATAAATAGGTTTTTCTGAACACATGACGAAGAAAGCTGTAGTACCTTGCGAGTGCCCTATATACATTAAATTTTCTTCCTTTGTAGTTTTGAGCACGTAGTCTATCATTGCTGGTAAGTCATAGCGTCCAATTTCGTCCCAACTAAATTCCCAAAATTGTGGAGATTTCGGTGACATTCCTACATGTTTCCGGGAGTATTTATTTCCTCGAGCGTTTCCCATCCACACGTCGTATCCAGCTGACGCTAACTGATATGCCAAACTATCTTTATATCCTGCAGTTAGCCAGTCATCAGCACTCAATA